GTTACGTGGTACACACCTTAGCCAAATCTACAACAGAGCAATAGAATTTGTCTGAAATGGTGGTCGTCATTTATATATAAAACTGCAGTTTCTGTCCGTAACACTAATCTTGAAATCACTTGTTTTGTTGCATGTGCTGTAGTGTCTGCACAGTATGTGTGTACCAGAAGACACTGTCCATCTTGAGAGCAAGTCACGTGTGACTTTGTTCATTCATATATATATATTGTGGTGCACAGTTTTGCCCTGTCCACCCTGATGTTATCTTAAACATAGCATTTTGTTTATTTCACTACACTTCACCACTGAACATGTGCAGATGTTGTGCTGTTGATCATTTTATTAAGGAGGTCTTAATAAAAGAGGAGAGGCCGCACCATTTTGAAATGGCAACCCTTGTCTTTCAAGTATTGCTTGACTAAGAGCAGGGTACTCGTGCACTTTCTGCTATTCATTACAGTCTGACTGAGAAGGTCCCAGTGTGACGCACTGGTATGGCAAAATCCAGAGACTCTCTCCCAAAACTCACTGACCCATTTAAGAAACAGTCCTGCGGAGACGGCAGTGTTTGGATCGACTTTGCTCCTTTTGGAAAGGGAGCAGGCATGTAAACACTAGATTACCCTGTAAACAGACACACACTCCCACATTAACCTGTTTACTTAAATGTTCTTTGTCTTATGTGGGAATACTGCAGTTTTCATGTTGTGACAGGAAAGAATCCCTCATTACATTTACATTTGTCATAAACCTGGTTTCTTCTTCATCTTTTTTTTTCATAAAAAGAAGTGCTTTGTTTCTGAGCCACAATATTGACACAGAATTTTCACTGAAACTGTTTATGCAGAAAACATTCATCATGCAAAACAAAGGGTGGAACAAGATCTACTCCTTTCTCTCTCACATTTTAGGCAACCTCTCTCAAACTGTTCTTACTATACTTTTTATTAAATAGTGTGTGCATGTAGTGGACGTTGCGGCCATTTTGGGCTCTGCCGTCATAATTTCTTCTTTTGAAGTGATGTCACACAACATCAGAATAATAACCTGGCACCATAAGTACAAAAATTTCTCCATAATATCGTGTTTCTCCATAATGAAGATAAATGAATGCATGTATTTTGCAAGGGAGTTCACCTAACTTAAAGCCAATGTTATTCCTCTGTGACTCAAAGACTTAATCACATGGCAGCATCTTGTACTTCACTGATTCACCTTGAAGTTATTACTGTGAACACGAGAGGACATGGACCGTATCCCTCCCAGCCTCCCTCATCTCCTCTGCTTTCTTTCTCTTACCCAGATCCATAGCAGGTGGTGCTCCGACTCAGCCAAGCCTGATTACACTGAGAAGTCACACCCTAACCCGAATAACGAAGTTTCTCGCAGCTGACAATGTCTTGGATGTTTTCACTGCTCTACTGTAATTATTCACAGTATTCTTAAAGCTGGGGTAGGCAAAATTGGACAACTAGCAAGAAACGGCTAGATTTAGAAATTGACCAACTGAAAAAAAATCCCTACCCCTCCTTTCAGGCATCCCTCCAAAGCCACTCCACAAAACACATTTAGGTAGCCAATACGTCTTATTGCAGTCCTGCGACAGCCACAGATACTGGATTTCATTTTTGTGTCAAACCATTTGATTAATTGATTGCTGTCGGGATATGAAGAGAATTTAAAATTGTCTACCCCAGTTTTAATGACAACATTCATTACTGCTACACACAGCCAAATTTCTCCAACATGATCAGCTGTATGCTTACAAATATGCTGTTGGGATGATGCATGACACAGGACAAGCACTGATTTGGCGAAGCTCTTGTGGTTTCCTGCGACATCATGAGAACTTGAACGAGTGCAAAGTGTGTCTCTTAGTTTCCATGGCGATCTGTCCAGCTGTTAAGTCTCTGACCCTGCGGAGGAACATCTGCAGTGATGTCATGTACGGGCAAAGACGGAGCCTAGTGACGGGCTGAGCCGTGGGATTTCTGGCCGATACACTTTGGCTGGTCTTTACAGCTGACAACACAGAAGATATAGAGAGAAGTCCGTGTCTAGCGGTGAGGCAGCCAACAGGCCAACAGGCCAATCACAGCTTGATGATTCCAGGTTTCTTTGAATTCAGGGAGTGTTTGGAAAATATTTGTTAGAGCTTGATTTAACTTGCTTAGATTGCAAGACAGTCTTGAATATATTACCAATTCTGCTTAACTCAGATATACTCACAATTAAATTCCTCTCAAGAGAAATAAAAACTAAGCACTTTCACTGTAGCACTGAACTTCCCATTGTTTGTGGCACAGCTAGAGTTTGTTCCTTTGGAGTTTGAATGCACTTACAGTAAGTCACTTTGGACAAAAGGGTCTTCCAAAAGAAAGTAATGCTACAGTCAAACGGAATGAAGTATTTTACTGTTCAAAGGCTATTTAATCACAACCACATCCAGGTTTTGGCTCTAGGAAAATTTAGGAGTGGTCTGAAAACTTTTGATTTGTTTTAGCCTCCAGAAATGTTTGCAAGTTGTTTTTAGAACTGTCCTCCTTCCTTAGACTTGTTATCTTAAAGTGTCCCAGAGATGGTGTAGAAACAAAGCAGGTCTAAACTAAAATCCTCTGAGGGGTGGAAAATATTAATATACCTCAGATGCCTCACTAGCATCAGACAAGACCCCTGTGATTTCTGACTTCTCTAACCGCTGACCTTCAATTTCCATCATTCCAACATTGGTTGCACAGGCATCATGAACATGTGTAGGCGATGTGTTTAATTTCGGTGCAACGTTAACATGATCGAATGTTACACATCTGTTACACTTTATGGCGTAAGCACACATACTTGCAATAATGACACACAGGTCTTGCTCTCTCAAAATGCATCCTTCCTAGGAGACTGCATCAAGAGATGAGTGTTAGGTGTGGGGACATAGCGCTTCACACCTACCAGCATCAGCTTCTCTCAACCCTGCACGGATACGCTACAAGACGCGACAGCGCTACACATGCCTCTACGTGTAACTAGAACTTTGTTAAAGCAGAACTCTGCTAGGTTTAAGTGTAGTGTCAGATGTTGTTTGATAGTGCAGCACACCTGACCGTTCACTCAACTTCACACCTGCTTCTATGGTGGAGTGCAAGTTAGCCAGGCAGGCATGCATTTGAAGTACTGGTGTGCACGTATATTGAGATATTCCGCCCCTCAAACAATCCAGGTTATACAGCAGAACGGTGTGGGCTGTGCTTCATTGTTGTTGTTTTTTAATTGCTTAACTCTGTAGGGTTTCAATCCAATTAATGCATGTGGAAAGGAGTGTGCCTCTCTTCCTGTGAGGAGCCTTGCTTGCCCCCCACACACACAGTTGGCCTCCCTTTTCCCCATTATTTTTTTCTTTGTCGATCCTGTGCGCACGCGCACACACACACGCCACGCGGTTAGCCTAATTTACAGGAGCTGCCACTGCGCAGCACGTGTGTATTAGTCTAACCTAATGCCTTCCAGATGCCACTATACCCTGCTGCCCATACGCTCTAAAAGAACACACGATTGTTCCAGGGGTCTTCCCACTAAGGAGAACCAGGTGTAGAGGGAAATTAGAGTGTGCATGTCTGACAGAGAGCAAGCTAGAGAGAAGGCTGCCTTCCATGCTGAAGGACTTGTGGATATAAGTGTGCATTCAGCCATGTATACAATATTGGTAAGTTTACAGAATAAGATGAGAGGGAAGCCCCTTCTCACCCTCTTGGCAAGCTCAATAGGTTGTAAATGTCTAAAGACAGAAGCAAAGATTGTTGGAGCCTCCCAGACTGTCTTATAATGATCCAGAGTGCTCATGGAGAAACTGTGTGGTGAAAATCAGGAGGGATTTATGACCGACCATGGTTGTTCTCCAGCTTCATGGTTAAATTTTAAAATGAGTATAAATAAAATGTATATTAAGGATTACTGAATGTATAGATGGATCTATTCAACTTAATTAACTTCTGAAATTTCAGTGTAAGAAATGAAAAGATGAAAGATGACAGCTCCCACACTGTACTGTGGAATGCTTTAATTTCTAGGATAACATATCAGTCCTCTGACCCATGGCTGGATTAACCCACTAGGTGGCCCCAGTGCAGAAATGAGCTCTGGACCACCACTGGCCCCTTTCTCTATGGATTGTGTACCCTGTCACCTTGAAGTACCCATCAAACACTGATCACACAGCACTACACATGGCAGCTTAATTAGGTTTTGTCCAGCTGCTATTTCCAACCACTGCTTGCCACAGGTTTACTGTGTATCAAATTAGTTTATGATAATTTGATTAAACACAAACTTACTAAGGAAGTTTGTGTTTAAAGACAAACATCTATTATTGCCCTTAAGAGTAGGTAATCAACAACAACTTTAAGGGCTTTTTCTCTTTGATAACGTATTTTAGTGGTGTATAGGCTCAAATATATTTGCCCAGACTGGCACAAAGCAAACTGAGGGCACCTTTTTTTTTTTTCTGACCTTTGTGAAATGCAAGCCGTAAAAGAGCCTGAAAAGTTTATCATCATAATAATAGACCTACTGTATAGGAAAGCAATAAGTGTGGTTAAACAAAGTGCCAGATAGTTCAGAAATTAAAAGATTTTCACTTCACTTGAGAAGACAGTTAAAGGGAGATCTGGCCACATGTGCATTCTGACAAACAGGATTTGTCATACATCATTAATACACTAATTGCAGTGACTGAGATAATAGAGGCTCTTGGCACCAAGAGGCAACAAATGCACGAAATGCTAAATTCTTGACCAGTGAGGTTCAGTTTAACCCTTGACACCGTGTTGTTTCCATATGGCACCAGTTTTCTTCTTCCTCTTTGTTTGATTATCTCACACGTGTTTATTTTTGTTTGCTAATGTTGTCAGTATGCCAATGATGCACTCTGTGAGACACTTTGTTGCATGAGAAAAGTATTTTCTTTTCTGCTCCCCTAACATGGCTTCCACCTCTTTGGTTCTGTTTTGCAGACCGTGGTTCTCAGGGAGCCTTGGATCTGACGGAGTTGATCGGCGTTCCGCTTCCTCCCTCTGTCTCCTTTGTTACGGGTTTCGAGGGTTACCCCGCTTACAGCTTCGGCCCGGACGCCAACGTGGGCCGCCTCACAAAGTCATTCATCCCTGACCCATTCTACTATGACTTCGCCATCACGGTCACAGCTAAACCTACCACACGGCGTGGTGGTGTGCTGTTCGCCATTACAGATGCTTACCAAAAGGTTGGTGACATACATCTAAAACTCCGTTCCTGTGTCTTTTCCTGTTATCTTTTCTGCTTCATGTAAACAGAAAGTAAATAACAATTTTCTACATGTCCAGATTGCACACTTGGGTATAGCATTGTCTGAGGTAGAGGATGGTTCCCAGAGAGTCATATTGTACTACACCGAGCCAGGAACAAGAGGTGGGACGCAGGAAGCGGCTTCCTTCAAAATGGGAGACCTGACGGGGAGATGGGCGAGGTTTACCCTGACTGTACAGGGGGCAGAGGTGGGTGGATTGTGTTCAGTGCACTTTGTTTGTGTGTGTGTGGCATTTCAACATCAATAAATCAGGATCATTTTCATTATTTTAGTGACAAGACTGGCTGGGTCCGCTGTTTTCTGCACTGCATTTAAAAGTGGGTGACTGTCTTTATGCATTCCAGTGCAGTTCAGCGGATTGCATGCAAAATCCGTACAAACAATTTTTCAGAAACTATTTTGAAAGTTTTCAGTTTCACATACCTCCTTTTTATTTATGGTAAATCTTAAAACAGATCATGATTATAAGTTTGTTTTTAGAACAGACTAAATAATTTACTGAATAATTTTAATTAGTTATCAGAAAACATTACTCAAACTGCTAATGTTATTTCTAGTGAGTATTTACAGCAGCAGGACAGTGCATGTTGGATTGACTCAAAATAAACTACCGTGCTTGTGTTTGGGGTATTGAAGGCATATGTCACCCAGTGCACTATGCCTCATTTATGTCTTTTTAAATAGTGTCTGGACAACAATTAAGCTCTATGGCACAGAAGAACAAGATTTATCAGGCTTTGGCTACATACACAATACTTAATATGTTAAATTCACAGCTGGTTTTAGTCTTTGCATGGGAACAGAACATCTTTTTATTATTATTTTTAATTATTTAACCAGGTAGGCCGATTGAGAACAGATTCTCATTTGCTATGGGTACATGGCCAAGATTCGTGCAGGACAACATGTAGTTGCACACACATGATCAGACTTATCCTTTGACAGTATTCTGATGATGTTTGTAGAAGATTTAGACATTCACTATGAAAGCTGAAACGGTATGTTGCTTGCAGGCCTTTTTTGATCACACACAGGAGTGTTAAATGGGCTTTTTTTCTTTTACAGATGTTCATTTAATATGTGAGGATGTTGTCATAAAAGCCTGAGAGCTTACATAGTCACTGTGTACGTGACTGCATGGAATAAAGTTTCTTCCGCTGATAATATTTTAGCCTCAAGTGTTCCATTTGTTATCAATTGCTGGAAGTCAGTATTTGCCCTTGTCACTCAGGTGCGTCTCTACATGGACTGTGAGGAATACCACCGTGTTGCCTTCACCAGGAGCCCTCAGCCTCTGACCTTTGAGGCCAGCTCGGGGATCTTCGTAGGGAACGCTGGGGGTACGGGCCTGGCGAGGTTTGTGGTGAGTCTGGATACTAGTGGATTTATTGTTGTGTGTGTGTTAAGTGTACGCACTACTGCAACAACTCTGTGTACTCTCTGTACATCTCTGGCAACATGAGCACTTTTGAGAGTTTTGAGAGCTGCATTTCTGTTTAGTTAATTCCTCATTCCTAATGTCGTCAGGTTTGGATCAGTGGTTGACAGTAGATGTCAAATCCACTCTTAGTTGCAGAAACAAACGTGGCGTTTGGGCAGTTGCCTATTTTACATTTGAACCATGAACACAATAGTCTTTGTTGGCAGCTTTATGACCGCCACAGGAGACGAGGAATGAATGACTGCATGTGTTTATGAGCACTGCTTTATCCTGTGAGAGCTCATAAATGACAAGCTGTATATGATTTACATTTTTGGAATATAGCTGATCTCTCATCATGAATGACTTGCACTGAGTGCAACTGGCAATTCTTTAATTAAAAAGAATAGAATCAAAAAATAGTAAGGATGGGAGGTTCAAATCACATGCAATTGTTAATAAATACCCCTGTGTGGTTATAATGAGGGGGTGTGACAGAAGTGCTGAGAAATCCGGGGAAGAGGTAGTAGCACATGCAGTGCTGTGTTCTGCTCTCAGTGCTCTTTTAATAGAAAATAAACCAGTAAATGCCCCAGGACTTAATCCCAGTGATCTATAATTAGCTTTTTTGTAATTTAAAGGAAAGGATGTTTGTCCCAATATAGCAGGAGGGATAATGAATATTACATTTTAATAAAAGTAGATCACATATTATAAAACATTGCCAACAATTCATCTTCTGAATAAATCAACTCGTGGCCGGTGGATAAACTAGAAGAATACATGACTTGTGACCTTTTTTAAAAAAATTAAAAACAGGCCTGCATTGTAACTTTTATCCCCTCTTCTCCTCTGATTTGTAGTATGTAAGTCCATGTGAAAGAAAAACTACACGATGTTTAGTTTCCAGGACAGTGGAAAGAAGTTCATATAAGCCAAGCAGCTTTTTTTCATCTCACTAAGATTTTATTAGTGAAATCTGAGGAGAGTTTCAAAGAAATCCAATGAGCCAGAGAGGGAGAAAATGTTTGAGGATTTTTTTTGGTCTCTCGGGGGAAATCTAACAAATAGGTTTCTCTACCTACAGTTAAAACAAACTCTGACTTGGGTATTTATACCTTGAAGAGCTGAAGTTTCATTTCAGAACAAAATCACTTTTCAAAAGGTTCATCATTTTTTCAAAAGTCATATTTGTTTCAACTCCAGATGATGACTTTGTATTTTTTATCAGAGGACAATTTTTATTGACTTTATCCCTGGGGCTTGGTGGGGTAGCAGGAACATTGGCCTGATAATAAAGACAACAAGATGTTGTTTTTCCGCATAATACTACAATTTAATTTAGTGGATAGTCTTTATTAAGATAAAATTACTATTGTTTTATCCCACAAGTCTAATTTTTGTTGAATCTTTGCTAACATATCTGATAATACCTCTACCAGACAAGCCCACTGGAGTAGCACGCAGATGTTTTAAATTTAGAAAGAGCAAGGGTAGCAAGGCATACCCCTTTCTCTTAGGACTTTTTAGATTAAGATACTTTGTGAAGATGGACCGAGTTGTCCAGATATCAGAAAATAAAAAGATGAAGTGATGGTGAAAAGTCAGGATTCTAAGGCTGGGATACCTGCCAGGAAATCAGAAACAAGCATCAGAATTGGACATTTTTATCTTTAAAAATGGCACCATCAATCCAGGGATAACACCCATCACTCAAACCACCATTGCTCACAAGTTGTAAACCTCCACTATGGCCGTCCTCTTGTGATCAGTCACCCAGAGGCCCTCTATAGCTCACTCTCTCATCTCTTGCCATTAAAGCGTCATCCTTTTCACTTCTCCCTTCCCTCTCTTCATATAGTCGTCCCCTCTCAGACAAAGAGGACCACTAGTTGACCGTCTGTTTCTAGCTGTGCAGTGTTTGAACTGGCAGCTCCGTCAGATCTTCCTGTCTGCTCCCCGGGGGAGCAGAGCCACGCAGCAGCAGTAGCTCACTGCAGTAGTACACTTCACACATAGCTTCACATGAACACATGCAAACAAAGAGACTGAAATATATTCCCCCACACTGACTTATTCACTGATATTCTGGCTTTGCTTAGTTTCACTGAAACACATCCCATGCTGGGTGTTGGAAGATGTTTGTGTGTGGCTCTTTTTCTGAGAGAGAGAATGAGAGAGCAAACTATGAGTTATTATCCCTGAGCAACTGAATATAGTTAGTAACCATAACACTGAGGAAAAAACACTGTCAAGTATGCTTATGTTCTGGTTGTGTGCATGTGTGTTGAGTATTTCTTGCCACATATGTAAGCATGCAGCTATTGAGCTATATAAATACAAATGAAACCGCAACCTGTTTTCTCACAATGGTGACTTTTTGCTGCAGAATTTGATCTTTGTCTCTGTTTTTACCAAAAATATTTTGTTTTTGTCTGTTTTGCAGACTTTGCAATAAAACATAAGCTTTGTTAAATGTTCATTTTGGATTGAACAGTGAAAATATACTGAGGTCTGCTAGTCCTCAAAACACATAATAAAAGAACTGCTGTGTAATAGTATCACTTTACAGTCCACAAGTCATGGTACATATAATCAAATTCAATGATGAACCCTTGTGGCAAAAAGAGGCTCTCATCACATTATCTGATCATTTGTATGTGCAGTAACGCATCTAAGTTTCCGTATAGCGTGTTTGAAATCATTTAAAAACGGGCTGACCTCGCCTGCAGCAGCAATGGCATCTGACACACGCACATGCTTGGCCAGCAGCAGCTCACGTTACCCGCTGTCTGTTGCTTTGGCAACAATGTCTTCCTCAACACGGCGAGTGCCAGTGCCTGCAGACACAGAACAGTACCTTAGAAGTACTTAACTTTTTTCTTAGCCATCCCTGACATCTGAAAACTCCTGAGTACAAGCTGCAAAGTGTACACAGACAGTCATTCACATCCTAGACTACCACCAGCAGGAGCTCTGATACGTTGTAACCTAAGTGAGGAACGCCTCTTTTGTACTATTGCACAGTTTGACCATCAAAGTCTCACCAGATAATGTTTGTACTTTTTACAGATGACGAGGCATATAAGCCTGTCCTAAACTACAGTACAATGCCAACATCTGTCTGTGGCAAATTCTGAAAGGTTGCTATGCAAATAAATCACTTTACCCAGAGTTTCACTTACAGATTCAGTTCTGAGATATCTAATTACAAATATAATGATCAGCAGTAAATGCAGGCCAGACTTCTTGTGGATGAAGCAAACTACTACCCTGATTTTTAACAGAATTCCAATTAACCAATAACCAAAAATATCAAGTCTAAAATAGTTCCTTGACCCAAAATGGAAGGTCAGTCCCCCCATATGTGACTGTGTGAAAGCATTATTGTCTCCAGAACAAGCGGCTGTATGACCTTTTTAAAGATCTCCTGTTAACCTTGATTGTGTGCATGCATGCATCTGTGTGTGTCTGTGTTTTGTATGAAGAGACTTTCAAGTGTTAGCAAGCTTATGAATGTGTAACTCAAGCAGCCTGACAAATCTTCCCACTGCCTCCAAGTATTTATCTTTATATAATTATAAATGTTTTACAAACCAGCTAAATCATTCATCCATGCCGAGACTCAGTTTGACAGGGAATTCACATACTAAAATGTTTGAAAGAAGTGGAAACGTTTGCGTGTCTCATTCTTTGTTTATTTCAGATGTGTTGTTTACTGCTCAAACAGATGGGTCTGATTTTGGTTGCTACCCTAACTCATATCCACCCTTTCTTTCTCTATCTTTCCCTCCATCTCTCTCACTCCTTCACCGCCATTATAGGCTGTGCTTCATTACAATTTAAAACAGGTGTTTGTCCTCTAGCCTGAACTCAAGATCAATAACCTCTGCTGAAATTGCCTTTAGCAAGTCAAGCTTATGTAATTTAAATCACTCAGATTTAAAGAACCATTTACAGTTGCATATGTGCACCCCCCCATACACTAAATCACTGGAAAAACACTTTACCCCTTCAGGTGAAGTGGGGCCCTTTTTTCACTGGCATACAATGGTTGCATACATCAGACATTTCCACACTTGCTCATGAACAGATTAAAGGATCTGAAATTCTCTGAGAATAGTGACATCCTGAACAGAAGACCAACACTTTGCCTTCAACAACCATAGACAACAAGTGTGTGCTTGCAGGTCATAGTGGATTGAGAAATTTTCAGAAAGCTAACAGGATTGTTTTGTTTTAATAATTTCTCTACATTATAAACAAAAATGCATCACAATCTGTGTGACACCACAATTTCAGTGTTACACCAGTAGACCATAGATCAAACAGTTTGTTAAAGTTCATACCTTGGGTCTAATGCTTTACGTTTGAATAAAAACATAATGTCTTAATTGAATATTGAGCTTTTAAGTGTAATTTAAGCACTAATGCGTCACTGGGTACATTAACATCTCTGTATTGACAACTTGATGCTACAGTGTACCTAAAATGTAATCCCTGTCTTTTAAAACCTTTTTACATGTATTGGGGTTTAAATAATTAATAGATACAAAAAGTTTTGGGGCCTGCAATGCAATCCTTGAGGGCAACTATGCCCATCAAAAGTAGTCCGTTAAAAGTGCTTGTTTTTGTTGCTAACAGGCTCAGATTGGTATTCTAATAGTGTGACAACATTATGGAAAGGATCTCTACGGAGAGGGGCCTTTTTGTTGAAGAGTAAGATGACTTACTGACTTACGTTTCCACCGTCATCTTAAACTCACAACTCGCCTCTCACGAGATTTCAGAGCGATACTTTTCCTTGTGTGTGACTTTTGTTAAACAAAAAGGAACTTACTCTTTAACAAAACGGCCTCTATAGGGATCCCTTTCCTTTTGGACCAATTCCAAAACATTTATCGATTATTCATTTACTGTTAAAAAATTCCCTTTTAAACCTGAACGGGTGAACCCGGTCAAGACATTAATATGTTCATACTCCTTAAATACTGTGCCCTGTCATGGCACAAGCATATTCCTGGGATGCTTCCAGAAACATGCGGGTGAATGACCAACACAAACCTCTTACAACAAGATGTAATATCTTTTGGCAGAAAATGCATTTTCTATATAAAGTAGCATTCATGACACCAGTTGAAGCATTGATGTCTGTAGCGTTTAGTGTTGAAGTGTTAATACTACTACGGATATCCCTTGTTGAGACACAGACATGATATCCAGCAGCTGCTACCAGGCTCGAAGATGGTCCAAACAAATCAGGGAACTGGTGTGAACAGGGGTTTCACGCTGAGTATACTTTACTGCTCTACAAACCTTTTGGCAGTATTCAAATGAGAGATGATTAAAAAATGAACCATAGTGTTTGATAAGATATCATTTAATAACCCTTAACACTTACATTTAATACCTGCTGATGATTTGAGTCCTAAAGCACAAAATGTAGAGGCAGTTGTGTATTTGAATTATTGGTACTAAGTGCACTAAAAGGAAACTTTTTTTTTTTAAATGTGAATTTGCACAAATATCCACGTGGTAATATTGTGCTTGGGATATGGGATGGGAAAAATTGCGAGCGTGATACACCTGTTTGACTCCTAGATGTTTGTCGATGTCTATTTGAGGGTGCGTGTTACTGTGTGCAGTTGTGCTGAATAATGTGTGTGGGGTAATGAGGGAAGGAGAGATGGATAAACTGTTTTGCTGAAAGAAAGAAGCAGTATGCTGGTGCGTGGGAAATGTACGCTAGGCTTCAATAAAATGTAATGATACAGAATTAACTAAATTACCACGCAACATAACCCGGACTCTCCTTCTTCTTCCACTCCTCGTTCTCTCTCCAGGGCTCCATCCAGCAGCTGGTACTGAATTCAGATCCCACGGCCCCAGATGACCAGTGTGAGGAGGACGATCCGTATGTGAGTGTGCACCAAAACACACACACAAAACAGAAAGTCTGAAAGAACTTAGGTTCTTACTTGTCCTGGAAGAACACACAGCCTCAGCAGGCCAACATGGAACTATTCCTCCCTCTACTGGTGAAAAAGGTGCACTACAGTAAACTATATGGAAAATAATATATGGAGTGTCTGTCTACATACCTTTGTGTATTTGGTCCTCGTTAATCCAAATGAAGGAAATCTTAAAGCTACAGCATACAATTGTTTTTGACAATAGTGTGCTTCCAACAGTTTCAGGAAGTCCCTTTTCTTTTTCAAGATGACAATGCATTAGTACGACCAAGAATGTGACAGTTTAATATATTATGCAAGTGTTTAATAATAATACTACACTTCAAACTTGACAATAAATTCATATGTTCCTAAAGTGAAATCAGTTGGAATTTAAACATCGAGTTAATATGCTGATTTCTACTCTATTCATCTGTCATTTAAAAAAAAAAAAGATTATAAATTGCTTTGCAAATGAAACATTTCACATGCTAAACAAACACCAGTAACAGTTACATGCTTTATATAACAGCTGTGTCTGTAGTAAGTAATTGCTATATCTATCTGAAATAATTTATCCAGAAATAATGGCTTGAGTCAGTGACGTGGATTAGCTCATGTTTGGTTGCACATTTTGCATCAGTCTTACAATTTAGTATGCTTGAAGCATGTTTCCTCCAGCCCATAATTTCTTTTTCTCAATTTTTTTTTTCTTAAATTCTGAATATCTTTCACTTTCTTATTCTGCCAATTGAAATCAGCTGCCATTTGTCCTCTCAATAGTATTTAATTTGGTCTGTCTCCATATTTATCTACAGACTCCTTTTTTTTCCCCTGCTCTCATTTCTCTCTTCAGGCCTCTGGATACGGAAGTGGCGATGACGCTTATGAAGACATTGAAGGGAGAGACGAAGTGAAGAAGATTGTGGAGGAGAGAGAGTTTACAATGGTGTGTGTATATACACACACACTACACCACACAATGCCTCTGTCCTTCCCATTTAGCTGGGTTGGACTTGGACCAAAGAAAAGTGTTCTTATCTTTACAGGCCTGGTGGAGGCTAGAACATGGTGATATGCTTCCTGCCAGCTCTGTGCTCTTTGAAAAAGAAAGTTGAATACAACAGGGCAACAGAAGAGAGGCAGGGGTGTAAAGAGTACTAGATTATTTTACTTAAGGAAATAGTGTCCTTTCTTCTTCTTGCCAACATTTAGATGAGAGATTTGTAGCAATAACCTCAGCTGAGCAGAAAGACCGAAAGCAGCTGGATACAGCTGGATCTGTCCAAATCAAGAGATTACAGAGAGTCACTGGCCCAGCCAAGAAATAGTTAATCTCCATAAAACGTTAGCAATTTTACGTTTTGGATTGTCTATGAAACACACACACAAATCAACCAAACAAGATGAAACATACAATATTTCAGTGGTACTGGTAGGTGTACCTTTTAAAGTCTAGCATGTCAAACATGAAAGTATGATCTAACTCTCAGCAAGACAGCAAATAAGTGAGTTACTACTTTTAAGGATAAGTAGTTACCTAGCAGACTTTAATCACAAGAAAATGGCTAACATGTCATCCTGTGTTTTGTTTTTGTTTTTTTGAAAGGAGAAAAATATACACATATTCACAAATTACTCATTTGCCATAATAAGAGTACTTTTTCAGCCTTGTAGAGAAATCTAAATTCAAGTCTAATGTAAGTGTCTCTATTCAGCGAAACTTTACTGTCTCACTGGGGAGCTTACAGCACAGCCCCAGCCTGGTTGGTTACTGGAGCTACTAAAGATTTTAATGCTTTTCTTAAGAGGATGTAGATGGACGGTATCAGATTTTAGAGAGGTTTGTTTCATTGACCTAGATTTTCTTCCTCAACTCCAGACCACCGTGGTCCAACTGAAATCATTCTTCTCTGACTTTGTTGATGGTACCTGAAGTTACCTCAGTGCTATGTCACTAAGATTTTGAAATATATATATATAGCAAGAGGTGTTTTCCAGATGTGTGACTGATCTAATTCAGCCAGTTCTGAGCTATTTAAAAAATCCCCGTCTCTGCCACAACTGGGCAGTCAGAAGGAGGATTCAAATCCCTAAATCTACGCTCTTCAGGAAAGAAAAGATCCTTTACTTTTTCATATTTAGTCATTCCAATGGATAATTCATAAGCAGGACAGGGGCACGAGGTTTTATCACCACAACAGACCTTGTAAAAAGAATGCAGAAATAATTTTGAAGTTATGCAAGGCTGTGCACCAGGTTTGAGACTGAAGGCAACATTCCACACATTGCACAGTCTGACACTGTAGTTGGATCTGGTCTGAGGGAAAACATTTCCTGTCATATAACACTCCTTTGCTCTGTTTTGACTGTTTCGTTGGATCTTAACAGATAATGAAGCTGCTGTTTATGAATACATCAACAAGTCTCAAGCTAAATTAATAAGTACACACTCTAGGCTTTTGAATCAAATTTTTTTTAATGCATGTCTGTGGAATATAATATATAAAACACACATACTGATTATTTCAATTCAGATTATTCATCTAAGTGTGTATACATTTATTTTAATTAGACCTTGAATTAAAAAAGCAAAACAAAACTTTATCCTTCCACATTTTTGTGAGGTATAGATCATTGCTTGTTTTGTTTTTTTTCATTTTTTCATTTGTTTTCAGCCCCTCCCGGAGCTGGACCCAACTTACAGCACCCCAGTCCGAGCTCCGCCCACTGAGATTTCAGTAGGTGATGATGAAGACATAGAGGAGACTTCTGGACAGGAAGTGGAGACGACTACTGTAAGAGGTAAAGAAAAAGAAAAAGAAATCTAACTTTTCTATTTTAGGAAATGTGTCATTGGGGGGTATTATGCCAAAAATGTATGTAATCCTCTCTCACACACAAGCATTTATTTTACATCTGTGTGTCGACCATACAGTCAACGGTGCTGATGTTGTAATGCATGAGCAAGTCCAGGCTGCTCCTTCTGTGATGCATTTCTCAAATTAGCCAGCAGATGGTGCTGAAAGAGACAATATAGCTGCCCCTCCTTCACAGAGAAGCAGCCCTCCCTTTGTCTGACTGGCCCTAAATTAAAATTTCTCATGCTAATAGGTCACATGGGGTACCATTCTGTACGGTTACACCTTTTCAAATCATGCTTACAAAGTGCCATGTTATTTGTTTTTGTTTTTTGAAAATTAAACACACTTTTGTGTCTTTGTGACAGTGACATCATTTGCGACAGAAACTCCAGCCTCCCTACTGGAAACTGTAAGTAATGATTTTTTTCATAATTTAGATGGTGACGTAAAGTGCAGCATGTATTTAAGAATTTAAGTTATGGATGTATCTGTATATGTTTGTTCAGTAATGTCAAATGATCGATTAAAATGCTTTTTTTCAGTGTTCAGTTACAGCAGTAATAGGCACCCATCTCTGGAGCCAAAATCCTGCAGTACAAGGGTGTCACAATAATCGTAACTGAGACTTAATCTTTGCCCCATTTTACTACTCTGCCTTTTAGCTAATGTCAGTGTAACTAAGTCTGGAAGCTAAGTTGGATGCGTTGCTAATGAATAAATGAATCACTCACTGAGTCTATTCGATGCTCAGTCCCTGCAGGTGTCTCCGGGACAGAAAGGGGAGCGAGGTGACCCAGGTCCAGCCGGTCCCCCAGGACAGCCCGGCCCTCCAGGACAAGCTTCAGGACAAGGGGAGGGAGGGGAGCCAGGACCCCGGGGACCACAAGGACCACAGGGACATCCAGGCACACCTGGAATTCCTGGGAAAGATGGACAGCCTGTGAGTTTGCAATATTCAAAATATTCTATTTTAAAACTATATAGTTTTCTATTTACAGAACATCAGAGAAGCTATTTAGAGCACATTCTGTTGTTTAGGTCAGTCCTAGAGGTCAAAAGATAAAAAGATAGAGTGGCTTTCTGTTTTGTCTTTTCTCTAGGGAAGCAAAGGTGAAACTGGTGTCCCGGTAAGTAAAGTCTTTCTAGTCTTGTAGATTTATAGGTTCATTATTGTGGAAGTAATTTTTTTAGTGTCTCCAGGGTAAAGAGATGCAGGAATGTACCCATTTTCAACATACAGGTACTAATTTAGAGAGCTATACTTGTATTTGTATTCTGTACTTGTACCAATAGATTGGGGTCACAGTTCTAACGTCAGATCTTCATTCCTGAAATCTCTACTTACAACTGGATAAAGTCTGTGTGCTACATTTGAACTCTGTTAAATGACCTCTGATATGGCGTTGAGCACAGCTGTAACTGTGTTTTTTTCCCAGGGAATAACTGGGGTTCCAGGATTCCCAGGACTACAGGGAGAGCCTGGTCTTCCGGGAGAAAAGGTAAATGTCCCCCTTTAACACCATGATACCTGGACTTAAATATGGTCAGAATGTAAACAGGGTAGGATATTTGCGAACACATCACTACTGTGTGAGCGGTCATGGAAATATAACAGAAACATCCCACTCCTGTCTCCCTCAGGGTGATCCTGGTGTCGGACTACCAGGTCCCCCAGGTCCTCCTGGACTTCCAGGTCGACCCAGCAAGTCCATGTTCCTGGTAAGTTATTAAACAACAATGTTTTACCTTTTCTTGGTGCTAGCAAAACCTGGTGTACTGTAATGGCACTTGATTCAAAAATTAATGTTAAAGGCCAGCCCCTGGCTGAAGCACATTAATAATGGGCTTCAGTGGAGATTTCATGGAGAGAAAAGTTGAGATTTCTCTTTTTATAAATTTAGGTTTTGGCCAGCTGCGTGTTAAAGCTGAAAATCATAATGTTTTTTTAATTGATACAACTGTTGATCTGGTTTGTTGGGTCATCTTTGCTACTGTTGAATTCAGAGAAAGTTCTTTCAGCTTTTGGATAGTTAATCTACAAACGCAAATTGTCAGAACAGTTCTCTGCTGTATCTTCGTTTTTCATTGTGTTCACTGGTGTTTTTATGCACCGGAATATTTTTCTATGAGACTATAAAAACAAATCTTGGAGTGATGGCTGACCTGTTGATTATTTATTTTTATGGCAGAAGCATTTATGGTTTAGAAGTGTGTAATTTATGAATCTCAGGAGTAGTTTTGCTCCTGAAATGAATATGGAGCCTTGAGTTGTAGTGATTTGACTCGGTCTGAATTCAGTAACTGTGACCTGTGAATTAACTAATTGACTGCTCATATGATATGTGTTCATCAGGAGGGGTCAGGATTTGATGACTTTGACAGTGACTCAGAGATTATTCGGGTAAGTGAACTCTATCTGTGACATTAGATAATATTTAGCATCACGTTGTAATCACACTTTCTTTTTCCTGTTGTTTGGTTGGATGCTGTCTCTATCTCATGTTAGTTCTTGTCTTTCTCATTATTGTACAGCGCTTGTGAAAACAAGCTTGTATCACCTTGTTGCACCTTCTTTATAAAGGTGTTGCATTTTCACACTACAGGACCCTGGCTAACATTTGACCATTGGCTAAAGAGATGCATGTAAATTGCTTTTTGAAACTTTCCTACTTAATGTGACGGATATATTTTGGCTTATTACATCAGGGGCCCCCAGGGCCTCCTGGCCCCCCAGGACAGCCAGGCCCCCCAGGAACGCCATCTGAGGACGTCATTCCTGGGCAACCTGGAGCCCCTGGGAAAGATGGAAAGGATGGAGAGAAGGGTGAACCTGGATTGCCTGTAAGTCAAATCTCTTTTTTTTTTCTTTCTTCCTATTTTTCATGTTCAGTTCCTCAATACGAGCAATATCTAAACATGTACGTATTATGTACTGTAGAACCAGGTGGTTGTGGCCCTTTTCAGACAGACATGCTTATTCATATAATTAGTGCTTCCTTCAAACAACAAGGGTCAACAATAAAACTGTTTAACAATAATTTATGCATGATTACATATAATTTCAATCAATTATAATGGCGTGTCTGTGACAATGATTTCCCTTACAGTGAATTAGTATTAAAAATTGTATCATTTGTTAATGTAACTTTAACAAAGCCAAAGCCAAACAGTGGCACAGCTGAATATAAGGTAGAATTTAGAATTTTCCCCTTAAACAACACAGCAGGGATTTGCATTGCTGACCCAGCTTCTTTTTTCAGGTGACTGAAGAGTGGTTTAGTGGCTCTGGGTCTGGTTCAGGGTCTGGTCAGGTATTAACATTTGGTCCCATCAGATCCTAGGGGCCACAAAGACGGTATTTCCCCCAACATTTAAAAAAAACATGTTCACTCACTGCTTTCCTGCCATTGCTTGCTACACAGATCAGTGTGCAAACATATTTGGTGAGTGTGTGGTTGAGACAATTTGGGAAGAGTGTGCGTGTGTTGACTGAGATGTGAAGTGTCTGTGTTAATTTGTAAATGTTACTGCCCTGCAGCACTCCACCTCAGTAAGGGCACATTTTATGTCTAGAAGCACTACACGTACCGCAAGTTCAAATAAGTCCTGTCCTTTTCTAACGATCTTCAAGCTGCAGTAACAGCACTTTGACAGAAACTACTAAGAGCTTCAGAACATGGTCTAAGCTGCAGCATTTATTGGGGGAAATGTGTCTTTTGTCTTTAAAATGTCAGAGGCTTTTACTAACTGTGTGAATGGACTACTCACAGGTTTACAGTCTTTAATGCAGCACTGTTTTGGCTCAAAAGGTTTATTCACTTCAGTTCCTGGGAGCCCATTAGCATCATGTTCTCATTTTGATCAATAGACCATAAAAAAAGAAATATGAACGGTACCAACAACTGAATAACCTGTGCAGTACATGTACAGAGTTAATTCCCACTGGTATAGATATCTAAAATCTGAAAAATTCTTGCAGGGTGTTGATGGAAAAGATGGAGATCCAGGGCCTGTTGGGGACAAAGGAGACAAGGTGAGGCAAAGAAATATTAGCAACATAGCATGCATCATTACAAAATATTCTAACTATGGACAAAGAAACACAAGGTACTACATTGAGAAGTCCACTTGTTAATGTATGTATTACCAGCAGTGCAACAACAGCACCCCAAAGTGGATACAAACTGTTGAATTCATGTGATACCTACCCAGAATTCCTTCCTCATAAGTGAATGTACAGCACACCAACCAGGAGCTGCCCTCCTGCTTCTGCCAATGCTGCCTTTTGTATGAGCTCACTCTGATTTCCCTTGAGCAGGACTCTAATGCTCTGTTAGCAAAAACAATTACACACAAACTAAATAACCATCCAAACACAAAGAGCCCAGCTCTTAATGAGGTGACCCCGTGGACTAATAAAGCCAAAGGGCTCGTGTGTAAACAAGTATGTGCCTTTTGTGCAAACCAGAAACTGTGGTCGCTCTCTAGTCATTGCTGAAGTTCATGCCATTTTATTATATTATATATTTGACAGGGAGAGCCTGGTGTGAGCGGGCAACCAGGACCAAAGGTAAAATCTATTATTTTATTGCATGTCATCCCTGACTAGACAATGAACAACCATTACTGATATTGGTAGACATACTTAAATTTGCCCTTCATATTGTTATTGTACCCAAAGTGATATTTGTACAGTACTTTTTTACAAGGTAATTCATACTCATTTTTTGCCCAACTGCTTTTATCCAATTTCTCTCCCTCCATCTCACCCCTGTTTCTACTTTTTATTTCAAAGTTTGTTTTCACTCTGTATCCTGCTTTTCCATTTGCTGTTTCTCTCCCCCTCGTCAGTATTGACGGTCCATTTCTCTGCCTCGTCCTTTTACTTGTCTTTTTATGTTAACCTCTCCCCTCTCATACTTTTAGTTGCTTTTTTGGTTTAACTGAGTTCATGATCATTTTGAATAGGGACCATATCGCATCTCTTGCAGGGAGATCAGGGCCCTCCCGGGTTTCCAGGCCTACCGGGCTCAGAGGGTACACAAGGGCAGCCTGGTCCCAGGGGTCCACCGGGTCCCCCTGGTCCCCCTGGAAGAGGCTTCACTTTGGAGTTGGAGGTACGGACCGTCCTTCATGACGAGTCTACTTACAGTACGGCTCAACCTGTCACAGACAGCATTAGTATGATTGTTATCATAAGGAATTAGAAAATGCTGAAATTGATTGAGGGGTTATTGTAGAACAGTGGTTGGCAACAGGCGGCTTGCTTTGATAGCAGAAAAATAAAACATAAGTTCATAGCAGCTGGTGCTGAAATAGACCTCAGTCATGACAGTCACTTCCTCTTAAGTGATTGTGCCTCTAAAATAAAAGCGTAAGAAAGTATTTTGCAGCAAGGCTTCATTTCGAGTTTATTAAGAGCTTTTACTTTGAAGAGTTCTGAAGGACAATTCAAAAGAGTCTCTGCGTGCTTCACACACCTCAGAAAAAGCAGTCAGTAAACATGATTGGATTCCCCTGAATTTTCTCAGGGAAAGGAACATAAGTGTCCATAGATTTATGAATGCATATCAAACGCCGGAACGCGCTCACACTGCAGCACATGCTTTATGTGAGCATGCGCGAAAGTGGCCTTTTATTCAATTTGTTTAACAAGGGAGAAAAAAATATCCGCAATAAGATGTAATCAATCTCACAATTTACCCATCAGGAGTCCCACTCTCTACTGACAGAGCTAAACGTGCACATGATTTAATATGGTTTGACTGTGTTCTGGCCCGCCATATAACGGCTTGGAAAAATTTGGCCCGATGCCAGACTTATTTGCCGACCCCTGCAGTAGAGCATAATATCTACACAACTTCCTAGCCCATTACTGCCTGGTCTCTCACAACACAGAACCACCGTTTTTATGTCATATATCACCAAACTAGATTGCAATGTGTATTATAAATGTTTCAGTTATCAATTGTTCGCCATTTCAATTTGTCGTCTTTTCCAGATGAAATGTGGCGTGGTGATTTTCTGAATGTTATTTAAACGGTTAAACATGTTGGAGACAATAACTTCACTCACAATTTGATTATAATGAATATCTTTTTGTCAAATGTTTTAGGACTTGGAAGGATCTGGGACACAAAATGGTTTTGGAGTTGCTCTGTCCAGAGGCCCTCAGGTACAGCTGCATTGAGTCTGCACCATGATATTTATCTTTTGTTTTTTCATAATACAGCATCACTTTTTGTCACCTCAGACAAATTTACTTGTATTTGTTACACAGGGTCCTCCTGGAATCCCTGGACTTGAAGGACCCAAGGTGAGAGATTTGTGTGTCTGTGATATCAGCAGTATTAGTCAAATTGTTTTAACTGTCAATCTGGTGTCATGCCATTTTTTTCATCCTCCTTTGCCTCTCACAGGGTAAAGATGGTTTAGACGGCTCCCCAGGAAAGCCAGGGCAAAAGGTGAGTCTGCTGTCAAGTTGTTTTTATACTTTTTGAGATGTGAGGGTTATCTCATTATGAGTCCGACAAGCTTATTAAAAGAGACACTGTCCTCTTACCATGTCACGGTTCTCATTGAAATGACCCGACCTCCTCATGTTGCCTCCCTACAGAAATTAAGCTTCACAATATATTGCAGTGAATCTTGTAATGAGAGTCTAACTTTGCCAATCATTTTACCAAGTCTGGTTCCGCGTGTTTTTCGCTTATTATCAATTCAGAGAAGGTTGTATGTGAAACAGACAAATAAAGTATTTTTGTTGTATTTTTAATTCATTACATGGGGCTCGTGGAAATGCATTTTATCACTAGTGAAATGATGGAAGCAAGTTATCTTATACCAGTGACATGTATGAATGATGGCTCTCTTTGTGGTCTCTGTAGGGGGAGCCAGGTGCAACAGGACCACCAGGGTTTCCAGGACTGGATGGACTAAAAGGGGAAGAGGTCAGTAAGTGGATGGACTGATAGATAAATGAACAAATGAATGATTTCATAATGTTTTTATTTATTTATTTTTTTTTTTTAAACAAATTGTTCAGACTTAATTTGACTGGCTTTTATAGCTGGAAATATGTTTTTTAAAAATTGTTTTAATTTACAACATGTATTTCTGTTTTAACGTAACATTCAACTATACAAAGACACAAGAACAACATGTATTTGGGATAAGATTAAGGATATAGCATTGAAAAATACTGCTAATAACTGAATGTTTAACTTATTTTGTGTCACGTACAGGGACCAAAGGGTCACAAAGGTGATCCAGGACAAAAGGTAAAACCATTAAGGATGTGGCCAAACTTACACACACTTCTATATGTTTTGTAAGTTTTGAAGCATTTCGTGGTGGTAGTTACTAAAAGGCTAAAACGTCAAACATTTTTACCAGGGAGAGACAGGACGGGACGGGCTCAGTCTGCCCGGCCCTCCAGGACCACCTGGACCACCAGGACCCATTATCAACCTTCAGGATGTAAGTAGCACTTGACCACAGCTGTTCAAGACCAGCCAGTGTACTAAGAACTTTAATTATATTGTGTAACCAGTCAGTTTGATTACCTTGACAACATTCTCCTTCTGTCTCTTATCCAGCTTCTACTTAACGATACAGATGGTGCCTTCAACTTCTCAGGGATTTTTGATGCTCAGGGACCCGCTGTGAGTATCTGACAAAGAATCTGTCAATAAGAGACCAAATGATCTTGACGTTGTGACAGCAGAACATGTGTGGTTAGATAGCTGTTTTGGTTTTAGTGTAACAGTCCTGTGTTCCATTTAATGCTTTCAGCTGTCAGGTTTCCTTGTCCAAACAGAAGTAACATCACAAGCGTTGTTCAGACAAAGAAGTGCACAAACATAGATATGATGATATAAAGAAATAATTTTAACTTGACTTTATTCATGATAGTCCACAATTTAGATATGGTGTTGTCCTCATCTTAATTTTGCAAATGTTTGCAGGGACCTCAGGGTCCAAAGGGTGACTTTGGGTTGCCAGGCCCTCCAGGACTGAAAGTAAGTGGGAAATGCATGCCTCGTGTCTGCTCACATACTGTACTTACCACAAAACAAATAGTTTCTGTATACACACAGTTTTAATAGAAGTTGATATTTGTGTACATGCATGTTGCATATGGTTTATTTGTTTGTGTGTGTGTGTGTGTATGTGCAGGGTGAAAAGGGTGAGCCAGGCATTGTCATCACAGCAGATGGATCCACGATGTCAGGCCTGGCTGGTCCAATGGGACCCAAAGGAGTCAAGGTTGGATTTGTTGTCACTTTATTATTTTTTTAATTTTTACTCTCGGGATCCAGATAATTTTCCTCCAATTCTTCTTTTGCATCCACCTACTTCAGGGTTTGAGTGCCACTATAAACAGCTTATTGTAGAATAAGTCATAGAATATATTCAGTAGAACAGTACACATCAGTGTAAACGTATCTTTGTTTGCAGGGAGACAGTGGTGTACCTGGACCCGCTGGAATTCAAGTAAGTATTAACAGCAAGCAGCAAAGGAATTTTTTTTTCACTTTTTCAGGATTTATAACACTTTTAATTGCTATGGATGCATTTAAGATACACTGTTAGTCACTTTTGTTTTGTTCCCAACAGGGGCCTATAGGACCACCAGGACCCAAAGGAGAATTTGGTTTTCCTGGAAGACCTGTAAGCGCCATGAACCCAACATTTGATTAGAAATGCATACCGACGCTTCCTTGTGTGTGGTGTTGTTTTTTTGTGCTCAGGAAATTCAGGTTACGAATATATATTTACTCTGTTCCTTTCAAGTAAGAATAGTTTCTCCTCTATTAAAAACACAGCTTCTCAACGCGTAGTTTAAGTCCAATACACCCCTGCTGTTGAAAAAGCTAAATTAAATCACACATTGTATCAGTCAACAAATTACCCAGTTTCCCGAATTTCCAATCCAACTTTCCATACTGTTGTTGTAACTTGATGATGTCTGTCTTTGTAGGGTCGTCCAGGCCAGATGGGACCAAAGGGAGAAAAAGGGGACCCCGTAGGCGTGCAGGTGAGTCACACGCCTGAGCCGAATTGACCCTTCGCTAAGCCCCGCCCCCCTCAGTTACTGTTGCTAAGTCCGACAAACTCTCAGCTCTGCACAACAACATCATTAGGTACAACAGAAAACACAGCAAAACAAGTCTCCACAATAACATCTTGTACAACACCGAGACACAGCACAACAACACAAACATTTAGGTATTACATGATACCCTACATAGTACTGTTCACAAAAACAACAGAACATTTGAAAGTTGTATTCTGGCTGTCAAACGGACGTGGAAAAAATTAAAGATAGAAGCTAAAGCCTAACGATCACACAGTACAAGTGAACCTCCGCATCCCCTGACGATTGAGACAAAAGACAACGATATTAAGGATGAGCACTGTTCCTGTATTCAATATTACAATCATCAAAAAGCAGAACAGTAGGGCTTTATTACCTTACATACAGTAGGAAGTTAGCTAACTAACATTACATTAGGAACAATCCACAGCCGACATTTTCCTGGATTTACTTCTCCTATCAACCTCTCTGGGTCGCGAGTGTAACTATTACAAGATGCCCCAGGAACAGCGTTTGACCATATCTTGGAAAAATAAAGCCAAAAAAAAGCTATAAAACAACTTTTTGCATTAGAGTCTATGGAGCGCATCCATGAAAGTGTCGGACCTCTGTTAGAGAGAGACATCTTATACTGCGCTGTGATTGGCCAGCTGTGTATTCAGGGCGTGGTTTAGTGAAGGGTCAGTTAAGAGCATGTGAAAAGATTTTAGAGGTTTGTACAATAATACAAAAGATACTGGTTGAGAATCTGAAACAGGTACAGATTAAGTACAATATTGTGCCTGTTTGATGTTGATATTACTTTTACAAGTTTTAAAGTGCCCTTTTAATAATAATAATAATAATAATAATCCTTATTTGTAGAGCACTTTTCAAAAACAAGTTACAAAGTGCTTTAACAAGTGTAAAGAATAATACAACAAAACAAGATAAGAGCAAGATAGTCTCTGTATATTTAAAATTTTGTATTTGTTTCTTGAATTTTTTGTCTTGTCTTTTTCATCTCCTCTGTTTAGGGACCTCCTGGCCGTCCTGGGCTGCCAGGCCGTCCTGGAATATTCAATTGCCCCAAAGGCGTAAGCGCACATACATTCAGTTCTCACTCATTTCTTCTCAATCACCAGTTGTTTTTTATTCATTATGTGCTCACTGTCCTCTCTCCTCTCCTGGTTTCTGAAGACGGTGTTCCCTATCCCTCCCAGACCCCACTGTAAAATGGATGTAAGTTTCTGTCAATGCAACAATATTGCTGATAAAACTAAAACATTGTTTTTGTATTTTAAATAATCGGTCTTCTTCCTGCTTTGCCTTTATTCTAAATCATATATTAATTTTACTCATGGTGACTTGAAGATTAAAAGAAAGACATAGGAGTCTATGCGATATGCGACCATGTGTATTTCATTTCCTTTATCACATGCTGTATAATAGTCAATGCCCAGATTGAACTACTTTATACCTGTAGTGACATTTATGTATCTACAGTAGGGCTGGATATGGCTAAAAAGGTTATCACGATAAAAAGTTTAATATCTTTTGATATCAATAATTATCACGATAAGTATCAAATAGTTATTTCTTTCGAGTTTAAAGGTTGATTTTTGCTCCTGAGTGAAAGTTGAAGAAACCTGATGGTTAATTGGGGTTTAAACTTTATGGTCAACACTTGAGGCCAAACAGTGGATCACTTCATGAATCTGATGTAGAACATTAAAAACAGTTATGGTAAAATCTTTGTTAGCAAATATGCATGAGTAAAATTAAGTAAAGTGTTTTTTTTTTAGTCCTTTTTTCCTTGACAAAATAAACATCTTAATAAAAAATGTAAGTCCTTGAATATTTAACATGCGTTATATTGTTATTGAAATAAAATATATTGCGATAATTATTGTTGTTTTCGTTGTCCAGCCCTAATGTACAGTAATTCACGTCTCCTAATCACAAACTCTTTTCCTTTTGTGTAAAAGAAGTGCATGTTGCTTTGTGTAACACTGGTACTACCTAACCTTTAATCACTCAGAACTGTCTGAGGATGGTTCTGAAATACTCCTGCATGCTGCATGTCCAGGCTGGGAAGGTGAAAGCTCATTGCCAAAACAATAAGGAGGTAGTACTAAAATCACATCCACAGAAAATCTGCATGTATCATTTGCATGTTGATAATATTAATAATACAGATTGGATGATTTAATATTTGATAATGAAACATTTCTGATATTTAATCAGAAATAAGCTTTGTTGAGGTCCTCACTGACTAATATATTTGTGCTCCATTATTTCAGCTTAATCCCAATGGAACCATTGTAGTTGGTAAGTTGGGTCATCTCTTTTGGTTTGCCTTATTATAAACACTGAAGTCTGTTTTAACCAGGTTTATGTCAATACAGACCAGCTTCACAGAATACTCGGGATAGTAGCAGTACAAATAAATTTTATTTTTCCTTTTAAAACTCACTGCATCAAAAAGTCTAAATTAAGGAAGCACAATTAGGTTATGTTTTCTTTTTGTCTTCAAGGTAACTGTCAGACAGGACTAAAAGGAGAAAAGGGAGAGAGAGGCTTTCCGGCGCCAACAAGTGAGTCAACAGAATTAAATCAAATCGAAGAAATACAGCGAGATAAAGATTACAAAAACAAAAATTAGTTCATTTAAACGCCTGATCTTTTTATTAAGAGGGACATTTTATATTTCCTCTGTAGTTTCCCAACATTTCCTAGTATTAAATAAAATGTATCATGAACCTGTGAATAAGTGGTTGGTTATAATTAGTAGTTACCCCCTCCTCTGTTTTCTCTGTTCTAGACTCATTTCTTCCCAGGGCAGTCTGGGTAAGTTTCACATTATATTTCAAATCTTGTTTTGGGACTTGCTGCTTTATGTGCCATCGGACTCAGTGTGTTTGTTATTGTCTGTGCATGAAATCGCAGGGGGCAGTTGGTGACCAGGGTATGAAAGGAGAGAAGGGAGACAAGGGGGAGGCAGGGTTGACCGGGCAGCCAGGTATCCCGGGCAGACCAGGACTTGTGGTGAGTCAAGTTTCCATGCATCGTCATCTTTTCATCGCATCGTGTCATCTTTTGTGACAATGTTTTAAATTTTGAAATGATAACTTCTTTGTGAAACATTTCAGGGACCTAAAGGAGAGTCAGTTCTTGGTCCGCAGGGCCACCCTGGGGTGCCAGGTTCTCCAGGTATCCCAGGCTATGGCAGACCAGGACCAGTCGGTCCTCCTGGGCCACCGGGACCTCCAGGTCCTGCTTGGTCATCCTCAAGATATGGCTCAGGTACATGTACACATAATACTGTATAGAAATAGCCATTTAAGTTTACCATTTGTGTAGCTGATGAGGTCAAACAGTTATAACGAGCTTGTATGAAAGGTGTTTATTTCTGTTAAGCAGCTTTGACCATTGCTGGCCCCCCTGGACCTCCTGGACCAGCTGGACCTCCTGGACCTTCTGGTAACACGGCATTTGTAAGTGAACCTGTTTCTTCTGGCCATGTTGTTGAACTACATATAGATGATACACCAACATGCTTAAAAACATTGAACAGATAAATCATCCTTTGTTTCTGTAAAATCAATACCATAACAATATGAAAGTTTCCAGAGATAGGAACAGTTTTTCTTCTATTTGTTTTTCAGCTGAAAACATTTTCGACCCGTGAAAGTATGATGCAGCAAACCCTCAGGGATGCAGAGGGAACTCTGGCTTATGTCACAGCAACAGGAAGTCTCTACCTCAAGGTTTCCCAGGGTTGGAAAGAGATACAGGTACTGACTGCACTAGTCATGTGTATTTAGGTTTGGTAAATCCCACATTAAATCAATCTGTACTAAAGATATACATTAATATCAATACTAAACATCACATACACACATTAATCAGAATATTAAACAGGGTCGTTATGTTTGACTACAGCATGACCAGTTATGTGACCTTCTGGCTGAAAAATAAAGCTGCAGCTACAGAGCTGCAGCTTTATTTTAAAATTCTATGCATGTAGGTCAAGTCTTAATTGATGTAGCAAATAAAATGGTGTAACAGCTTTTTAATTGCTTTTTGGTTTATTACTTGGACCTTTTCATGGTCAGCAAAGCACAGTTAGTTTTTTGATTTCCCTTTGAAACCTGTCTAATTTTTTTTTTACTCACTGGCTGTGTATCAGCACTACAACAACACTACCTGACACACATTTGAAGGCCAAACAGCCTCTTTCTTTGAGAAGATGATCAATAATTAATCAAACTGTGTACAGCAGATATTGGATGAAATGCGCTTTATTGATTTAAAAAAAATCAAAAGCATTTCATGAAACACAGTTCTACAAGTGCAGTGTTTGTACAGTCATGTTCATTAGTCATTGATTTATTTTCTCATCAAATATACAATATTTGCATATGTTCACAAAGTGGTTGTTTCAGGGTTTTTGTTGAAGATCCAACACATGTAAAAATAATGACAATGTGAGCTCAAATAACACAACATACAATATTCTCTTTTTCTGTGTTTTTCAGCTTGGCAGTCTGATCTACCTCTCAAATAACATTATTCCACAGGATGAGGTACCTATTGCTTTTTTTGGCTTTTTACTCAGTATAAAAAACTATTGTGGAATGTTGTACTGTGCATCCATAATTTAACAATCAACTGTCATTTATTCATTTAGCCTCGAGTTGCGTATCAAATAAGAGGACACACGATGGAGAGAATACGTTCAGTTAAAGAAAGGGTGAGTCTTTAAATAGCATAACTGTCTTAATTTAACTTTTTTACATTTGAGTATTGATTTCTGAATATTCTACTACAGTGTATTTGGAGAGGGATATTACATAACATACAACATATTACATAACACATTTTTTTGTAAAAACTCATGGACAATTTGTATTTATTTGGTTTTCACAGCATATTTCTCTTTATTTGACTCAAATACATATTTTTGGTGGTCTTTGTATATCATTCTTTAACCTTAACAGTTAGAATGGACTGTTAGTATGTATCCTGCAGTGGACTAACACCGATCTGTTGCTTCTTCCTGCAGCTCAACCTGGTGGCCTTGAACCAGCCCCACTCAGGCGACATGATGGGGCTTGACACGGCTGACCGGATGTGTTACGAGCAAGCCAAGGCGATGGGTTTGGCTCCAAACTACCGCGCCTTTATTTCTTCCCACAGGCAAGACTTGGTCCATGTGGTCTATCCTGGTTTCCGGGACACTCTGGCAGTTACCAACCTTAGGGTGAGTCTGCTCCCCATGCTGACTACACTAAACTAGGCTCGTGTAGAGGATCCCCCGAATAAGTTGTTTGTTTTTTTAGGGAGACGTGCTGTTTAGGAACTGGCGGTCAATTTTCAATGCTGACAGGGGGCCAATTGATGCCAGGATACCCATCTATTCCTTTGACGGCCGGGATGTTTTAGCTGACCCCTTCTGGTCAGTAAACTTGATTGTTTGTCCCTTTGTGTCTATCTGTCATGTTGATATTTTGTGTTGTGTTGATATTTTCTGTCATGTTGATATTTCTGTCATCTACCTGTAAGGCCTCAGAAGAACATCTGGCACGGGTCCAACAGCAGGGGTCTCCGAGTGGTGGACAAACACTGTGAGACATGGCGAACGGACCACATGTCTGTCGTGGGCCAGTCATCGAGCCTGATCTCAGGTCTGCTTCTGGGCCAGCAGACGCGAAGCTGTTCCAACGAGTACATTGTTCTTTGCATCGAGACCCACAAAAACCTTTAAATCCCCCTCCATACCACTCTACCAAGGAAACCAACCATCCCAGCCGCCGTAAATGTTTAACACTCGAGGAAAAGATTTGAGTGTCTGTCTTAGAAAAGGGCGTCGTTTTCAGCACATCTTTGGTGCTACGTGTAGCATTTTGTGTTTTTTTTTAAAACACAGGACCACATTTAACAGCCTGTCTTTCACAAAGATGATGTTAGTACTTATTTTACTTCTCCCTCTTCTGACACCACTGTGTTCTTTCTGAGGAGCAAGAAGATTTCAACAAACTCTTGACAACATCTGGGAAGGGAAGCTAAAGCAAAGTTGATGCTAGGCTGTGGAACAGGAAGACATTTTGTGGATTGTTTTGATCCAAATTAAAAGGAATGTTTCTTTGTGTTTTAGAGCAATCCAGAAGATTTCCCCTTATATTCAACCTGGTGGCACATAATATAAAATGCAACATAGAGGCTGATGAAAGCTGTCAGTTTATTTCTACTTACACGCAGCACCTTTTATTCTATGAAAGTGGACTCATTTGCAACTCAGCAAATCTGTCACTTTACAAGAATTGAACATGACTAGTGCAGTAACACAAATGGCTTTCCCCCCACATGGTCACCCATATGTGTTAAGAATAAGACGTCTCTTTATTGTTTAAGTTTATTGTCTCTTTGTTCAACAGACTGAAAGTAGAGACTTAGGGGTTGCAGGAATCTTTACCTGTTTGAACAAATAATAGCTTTCCAAAGAGTACTTTCACTGTTATGTTTACAGGTTGTCATGGAGAGTTTTAATGGCTTAAAAAATTCAGTACAACTTTATTCAATCCTTTAAGGGCAAGAAGTTTGTTTCCCCATAGTCCCTCATCCAACAGTGGGATGACCAGACAACCAGTGTTGCCAAGTAATTTTTGATGCACTGTACTTTATTTTTTAAATATTTTCTAGATTAACATTTTCATCCTTGAAGGTGTTTGTGTTGTAGCTTCTCATACATCTTGATGATCTCACTTCTTAGCAGCTCTATCTCTCAATAGGCTATTTAATTTAACTACAATGATTTATTTATACCGTCACAGCACATACCACGAAATCAGATGATTAAATTTAAGAATGTAATTTATCGTTTGTTGTTTATCAAATGACTGTTTCTTCTCACTCTTTGTCTCTTTTCTATTTTTTTTTGTACAGTTTTTTTTTTTTTTTTTTTTTTTTTATGGTCATAGATTTCTGGAGAATGTTTAACAGTTGAGACAAAATTTTTCACCTAGTGTAGAGATACAGTTGAAACGAACTAAATATTTTCATGCAGGAAAAAAAGAATACTAAAAATATTCCAAGGGGAAAAGTGAGAGCACATGTTTTTGTTTAAATATTGGTGCTTTGTTGAATAAAGTTTTTTCTTTTCATAACCTGACATTGTTTTATTGTCAATACATTGTGAAAAATAACTCAAAAGACCATCAGACTGCATGTAACTAACATGTAATGGTAGAGACAGACATTTCAGTGTACTATATTGTTGCATCAGATAGAAGCAACAGGTACAGAGTACATTATTTAGGAATATATGGATTTTGAAAAAAAATATACAAACAATACTTCATTTTAATTAAAAGGCTGCTTTGAATAAATTGAAAAAAAGTGATTTAGTTGGATTTGATATCTGAGTTTGAAAAACCTATATTAGCAATATTTCCTTTTTGAAAGTAGCCCATTGAATTGTTTTTGATAAGGATTCTGTAAAGCTGCCCTAATCAATATTGTTATGGCTCCAATGACTATGTATAATGTGAAGGGGGTTGCTCATAGTGACAACTTACAGAATTACAACTTGACTGCAGTTTCCCTCATGGGGTATTTTTCCAGCTTGTTGTTTTGGTTTCACAGCACGTAACTTCTGTTGTTCAGTCTTGCAGCTTTCATCAGCTTTGTTTTCAGGCCCAACAGTCAACTGTTTTTTGGGCCCCAACCCCCCCCCCCCCCTTCCTACTCTACTTGCCCATCACCAAATGGCGACTAGTTGGTTACCACAGTGGCGCCTTTAGCAGCCAATGAGCCAAACACGGCCTTTGAAAAGGGATGAATATTGGACTTGTATTTGGCAGTCCCAGGGAAATGGTTCTAAACAAATGCTAACATTGCTGTATGATCTGCTTGATGTGTAACAGGCAACAGTTTCCTCACGTGTTAGCCATAACAACTTTATAAGGTGATCATCTGTCAATCTTATGTTTACAGTTTGTTGTGAGCCACCAAACTTCCCCAAAAAATGATTACTGCACCTATTTGGTTATTAGAACTATGTACAAGATCAGAGCAGGACCTGTTGTTAAAACACTAAATTGCTCTTTAGTATTTCTTTGCTGCAATTTTGTGGTACTTATTGGCCAACATATAGTATACACCCTTACCAATATAGCTCATAAGCTAAAATAAGCCACATATCTAGGCCATGTAAATATACCAGCTGGGCTCCAGTTTGAATCTTTCAGCACCATGGAGAGAGACACGGAGGCAAATGTTCTTAATCTATTTAAATATTCTTTGCAAAATGCAAGGAGTACATTACTGCAATCTTTCAGAGGAGTTTTTACCATATAATTGGACACCTGCTGTACATTTTAGCGGACTACAGCTGCTGTTATCCATGTAGAAACAATCCACAAATATGTCAAAGGCACCATTAAAGCCTACATAAACATTTGCCATTCAAAACAATAGTTTTTGGTGGAGTATTCCACTCTGCTAACCTGAAGTTGGTATTTATCAATATTTTGTCGACTAATAAATCTAATGGAAATAATGGTGCTATAGCAATCATAGTCGTATACAGTCCTGTATGCCTTTTGTGAGTCATTGTGAATGTGATTATTGGATAACTCTGTCCTCTACAGAAGGTTGAAGGTTTTGTAGTCAGGATCCAAATATAGCTCTTCAAACACATTTTCCTTCCAAAGGTCAGCTTTTTTTGTGTTTTTTCTGTCCATGCCAAGCAGCTTTCAGCTTGTACTAAGCTGATAGAACACATGAGAGAGGAGTAGAAGAATATAGTGTGCTCTTACTTTACTTTGACAACATAAAAGTCTTTTTGAGGTTGTCTTTTATATTGAAACACTTGAACATGACTGCACTCCAGGTACTGTAAGCATTTTTTATTTAATGACACATTTGTAATATGCAAAATGTATCACTGACATTACCAATGTACTCTTTATTTTGTTTTTAACCAAAAGACTGGACTCAGTTTAACTATATTCTGACTTTAATGTGAAGGTCCTGGTCATGCTCCACCTGACTGCTGCGGCAGCTGACGCTCAGACTTTCCAAGGGGGCAATTGCCCCCAGCCATCTGTTCAAGAGGACTTCAATGTTACAAAGGTAAAATACTAATAGAATATTTTTCAGAGCCATTCTGATGACTTTTGTTGTGTGTATTCATTTGTTTACGTTAGTCTTGTGTGTACTATTGCCTATTTGATACTTGTAGGTATGATATAAACAGGTAAAGGTTTGTGTCTTATTGAAAGAGATTCCATAAAACACAGCTGCCAGCTGCTGATGAACTCAGTCTGGTGACCAACAGGCTCGTTAACAACCTTTGTGCTTTTCACCTTCTAGTATATGGGCACCTGGTATGAAATAGAGAAGCTCCCAGCTGTGTTTGAGAGAGGAAAATGTAACCAAGCTACATACAGTCCTCTCACTGATGGGACGGTCAGCGTTCACAATTCAGAACTGCTGTAAGGATTTACCCCCCCCCCGTTGCCTGTGTAAAAACAATGTTCCCAGTGTTTTATTTGGCTAAAAGTTGTATTCATATATCACCTGTCACTCTGCATAGGAATAAGAAGGCCTAAAGATGGATTTGCATTTCTTGAATTGTTCGTTCTCCCTTTTCTCATTTTCTCCCCGTTTCCCTCTGCACAGGTCCAATGGGAAGATCAATTCAATTGAGGGTGTTGCCAAAGTTCAAAACTCAACTCAACCTGCAATTCTGGGTGTCAGCTTCTTTAAAGGTAATTATACAGCTGATGTATTGTTTTTACAAAATTGAGCTAGTCTGTTTTACTATTACAATGCACTATTTTTTTTCTATCCATATCTGATTGCAGGTGTTCCAGATGCTCCCTACTGGGTACTCTCCACAGACTACCAGTCATATGCTCTGGTGTACTCTTGTTCTGACTACCTCGGTTTTTTCCACATTGACTTCGCCTGGATCCTGGCTCGCACTCGGGTGCTGACTGAGGATGTCATCGGCAAGTTACATGAAAGGCTGGCTTCCGCTGGTGTAAACACAAACCGCCTTACAGTCACCGATCAGACTGGATGTGATGTCATGACCTGAGGCATGATCAGAAAAATGTAAAAGGAGAACAAAAGCTAAATACCTGTTTTGAACAGTAATGGAAATTCCAATATGCTGTGTGTGCAGCTGTGATATACCAGACAATGTCATTTATTTAGTGTTGAGTCTACAGTCTTCAGACTTACTGTTTTACGGTTGAACATTACAGTTAAAGTTAACCATTGTGGCTTTATCAGTTCTGAAACAATTGAAAAAAATTAATGGTTTTCCACTACTAATTAGGGGCATTTTGTTTTCAGTTTGTAATGAAGATGCAATTTCTGCCTTTTAGGTCATTCTGCTGTTTATGCTCATGCATACAACATATTGGACTACATACAAGTTGTATAGCTCATTGTGAAATAATCGTGCTCTTACAGTTTGTGTGGGTTCCAGCTTTAAGATGTCTGGTTATCATGACAAATGTGAATATTTAATATAGGCTAACAAACATAACAATTTAATTAAATTAATCTTTGGGAAAAGGTTTCAATTATAATTTATTATTATTATGAATGTATTTAGTATTTCCAGAATGTATGTGTTGTAGGGCTTTTTCCTCTATGTTGTTACACTTTAAAACATATTTATTGCCCAGCTAAATTTTCAAGAGGTTCAGGAAAATACTTGACTTCAAAATAAAAGCGTAACAGCTTAAAAGTTAAATCGGCAAACGATGTATGTATATATAATCTGTATCATTAAAATTCAACTTTAAAGATTTGTTTTGACCATAGACTGTGTGGTTTTGAAATAATCTAGTGTCGGCGCAATGAAGAAAATGGGTCAAGTCTACACGTAAATTGGCATTTTCCAATTTAAACAACATAACAAATTAACTGAAATAACAATCACCACACAAAATGTTTGCATCTTGCTGGTTAATTAGTAGTTTATTATCTGTGGTGGGGAAAATAAGAGTCGATAAACGAGGTCATTGGAGGTCAAACGTGGTGCTTTTATTCTGTAGGTAGCCCGGAAGTGTTGTCACTGTTATAGACTACAGTGTAAAACGGCAGGATGAGGAAACTGAAACGCGCTACGTTATGTTTTAGTTTTAGAAATATGAGTTTGCTGCTGTTTTGCATTTGTCTTTCGTATCTACCGTTTTATTCCTCAGCCAAGAGCAATGACAGACCCATTATTGGTAAGTTTATTCACACGATATTTACTGCGACATCACGCTAACCTCCGACTAACTAGCTAACTTAACTGTGTTATTGTGGTGACAGCATGCATACAGACAGAAGCGTCGAGTCACGTAACTACGTGCTTTAAACTGGCTGTGTTTTTATTATTTTAAAGGCGTACTGGCTCAAGAAGTTTACTCCCCTAAACAAAGTCAAACAGCTTACATTGCTGCCTCATATGTCAAGTTCCTGGAGTCAGCAGGAGCAAGGGTTGTACCTGTTATGTGAGTTATTAACGTTACCTAACTGACTTCACAACAGCTTCTCTAACTGCTCTTTTATACGCCATGTGTGTTTGAACTTAAACCTTTAACCTCCCCCTGTCATTTCTACAGGATTAACCAGACACTGGAGGAGTATAAGACACTGTTCAACTCCATTAATGGGTAAATGTGTTATTATAATAATAATAATAATAATAACCAGTTGAGCAGTCAAAGCCTCTGTGCTACGTTTGGGGAAGTTTATTTAAGCAGTGGCTCACGACAGGCCGTAGTAGACGCTTATTACTGTATATCACAGTTAAGGGGCTTTGTTCGACCCGACGCGTATATCACGGCCTGAAGTGAGGTATTGCTTTTATAAAACGGTTACCAAGTGTGGCAAAAACAAAGTAGCCTAACAGACGCACTACAATTTGACTTTGTTTTATTTCATCAACCATTTTTCCACATTTCTTCATGAATCCAAAAAGTAGTTGCCCCAGGCTGACGGTTGCTAAGCAACATACATCAAAGGCTAGAATTACTAGAACTATTTATTTATGCGCGTTGCCGTTTATTGTGCAGCCACTAAAAACTGTCCAGCGTCAGTAGATTGACTTTGGTAACTTATAATATGCTTTGTTCTTGTGTGCTGGCGGCAAGCACTGCGTAAAATAATAACACTTTAATATTATACCTACCACGAAGGGCGGGAAATTGCGTCTCTCCTTGAGCAATAGTCTTTTGAACAGGCTATTGAAATTTAAACTTTGTTGCAATATCGCAGACGTCTGGGGCGAAGTAGTGGACTGCTGAGCGTGTTTGTGTGTGTGAGAGGGAAATGTTGTATCACGTAAAAAGCAATGATTTCTCTTTCTTATTATTTATTTCTCCATGCCGAGACTCAGATTATAACTCGAACCCTGTTTGTCGCGGAGTGATACGGATCTGTGCGAAGGAATTTGACGTTATAGACGCTCATTATATCACTGCTATGAACCAATCAGATTGCTTGATTTGAGCTACCCGTTTTAGAATTGGGGAGATATACAGTCCCCTCCAAAAGTATTGGAACAGTAGGGCAAACTCCTTTTGTTTTTGTTGTTCACTGAAGACATTTGGGTTTAAGATCAAAAGAGGAGTATGAGACAAGATTTCAGAATTTCAGCTTTTATTTCCAGGTATTTACATCTAGATGTGTTCAACAATTTAGGACATATCACCGTTTGTATTAGACCACAGCATTCCTAGGTGAGCAAAAGTGATGGAACAAATAATCTTAATGTTAATAACATTTAATATTTGGTGGCATAACCCTTGCTTGCAATAACTGCCTCAAGCCTGCGAACCATCGACATCACCAAATTGTTGCATTCTTTATTTGTGATGCTATTCCAGGCTTTTACCGCAGCTTCTTTCAGTTCTTGTTTGTTTCGGGGTGTTTCTCCCTTCAGTCTCCTCTTAAGGAGGTGAAATGCATGCTCTATTGGGTTAAGGTCAGATGATTGACTTGGCCAGTCTAAAACCTTCCACTTTCACCCCCCTGATGAAGTCCTTTGTGTTGTTGGCAGTGTGCTTTGGCTCATTGTCCTGCTGCATGATAAACCTCCTCCCGATAAGTTTCAATGCATTTCTCTGTAAATTGGCAGACAAAATGTTTCTGTACACTTCTGAATTCATTCTGCTGCTACCATCAGTTACATAATCAATAAATATTAATGAGCCTGTTCCAGAAGCAGCCATGCACGTCCAAGCCATGACATTACCCCCACCATGCTTCACAGATGAGCTTGTATGCTTCGGATCAGAAGCAGTTCCTTTCTTTTCCCACACTTTGCTGCTGATGAGTGGTTTGCATCTTGTGGTGTGGCCTCTATATTTCTTTGAACAGTGGATTGTGATATCTTCAAACCTGCACTGTGGTGTTGGTTATGTTTTGGGGGTTTTCTTCGCAGCTCTCACGATATTTCTGTCATCAACTACTGTTGTTTTCCTTGCCCGACCTATTCGACATTTGTTGCTCAGTATACCAGTAGTTTCTTTCTTTTTCAGGAAATTCCAATTTGTTGTGCTCGATATGCCCAATGTTTGTCCAAAGGCAACACCGGGGCAACAAGAAACATCCGTCTGTCACGTGATCCAATATTTTTGCTCACAAGTTTGAAAAATGGGTGGGTTCAAACAAAAAGGGTGATATATCCTGAGTTGTTCATCTAGATGTGAATACCAGGAAATGAGAGCTGAAATTCTGAACTCTTGTCTCATACTCATCATTTGATCTTAAACCCAAATGTCTTCAGCGAACAAAGGAATTGTTCCAATACTTTTGGAGGGGACTGTATTTATGTCGTCATTTATAAATGTCTTCTGACAAAATAACATGTGCTGACAGGTTTCAGAAAAGTAAACTATTAACTTTATGTACAGGGGTGGACAAAATAACAAACTTGATGATACCAGTAAAGCACTGCAGTTGGGAGGTCATAATGCTTACTTTTTGCTCCAAGTCCATTGTTGTAAATAGATTTTTATTTATTTATTTTTTCCCAATGCAATTTTTCCATGTTTTGCCCATGTCACTAGCACCTTTATCCTTGCCACATAACAGAGTATTGCTATGTTATGATTAATGCTCCAGCAGCACCTACTGTGAATCTTAATTACAATGGCAGATGAACAAGTTTGTTGTAAGTTATCACAACTTTTGTAAGCAGGTTTTCAAGGCAACAATAGGCTACTTACAGAGGTACAAAGAAGCTTTTTAGTTGATACCAGATGAATATTTGGTGGAACAGTTGCAAATACAGTAATTTAATGTGGAAAGCTGCAAACTGGCGAAACGCCTGACAACACATTGACCTAAAAACATGTCAAATTGAGTTGAATGTAAATAGGAGACACAAGCATATTGAAATGTAACATTTTCTATTATTTTGTCCTCCCCCTGTGAGTTTTCTTTCCAAAAAAGATACAGAACATTTTGTTTATGACCTCTTTGTTTCTTCGCTAATCGTGACTCAGACCATGTTGTGCCTTTGATTATAGGATCCTTTACCCAGGCGGGGGTGTCAGCATTATCTCATCTGGTTATGAAAGGGCTGCAAAAATCTTCTATGAGCTTGCTATTGAGGTAAAAGCGTAAAATACTAGCAACCAGATTTTAGTGTGTGGATGCTGGATTATGCTGCAATACTGTATGTTATGTTTCAGGCAAACGAGAGAGGCGACTATTTTCCTGTGTGGGGCACCTGTCTCGGGTTTGAGCAGCTGACCTATTTGACGAGTAGAAAGACAGTGCTGTCAAATACCAATACAAGTGGTGTGCCATTACCTCTGAACTTCACTGATGGTAGGGCTTTGTCTCAATAGATGTATTATTTATTCCATATTGTTGAGAGAACTCTTAATCAGCAGCGTATGAATGAATGATTTGTTTTTAAATGTGAAGTTTCTTTCCTCCTCTGTGCCGGTAAATAAAATGTCTAATAAGACATTTGAGGACGTCATCTTGGGCTTTGGGAAACACGGATAGACATTTTTCACCATTTTCTGACATTTTATGGACCGAACAACTATTAATCGCGAAATTAATTGACAGATAAATTGACAATGAAAATAATCAGTAGCCCTAGAATACATTTAGCCCTCAGCTCTGAAAATCCAGGTCCAACTAACTTTTGAAAATTATGATTAAAATGAGCCATAGGTCACATCTTATTTCTTCCATGTTGTTCGAACATCATGCTTGATCTTAACTCCTAAACGAGTCATCAAAACGTAACAGTTAGCTTGACAGTGCTGAAAAGGTTAAAGGGTCACATTTGCTTTTAAAATAGTCCAGTTTGTGGTGCTATTGCTCATTTCACAGCATTTTATGAGACTAATATTTTGATCAGTTTCCTTTTCATGTCTGTAGTGGCACAGTTACAGTTAACAAGAAAAAGATGGATCTTCTTTACATTAACCACCTTAAATATCCCGAAAAAACTCAATTTTGTTACTAATGATCATAATGCCATGACTTATTTCCAGAAATCAAAGGCAGCAGGATGTTTAAAGGCTTCCCGGCTGAACTCATGGAAGATCTGGCTTCTGAGCCGCTGACAGAAAACTCTCACAGGTGGAGTTTGGCAGTGTTGGTACGTCATTTATTACCATTTTAATGAGAAAAGGGTTCAGTCACCAAGATTATTGACATGTATAATAAGGAGAGCAGTGTAAGAGCCACACCACTGCCAGATAATGCCAATATTGTTGTTTTGTGGTAAAATATGCGGCTTTTCCCCCTTGAACAGACCAGCCAATTACATGTGTCTCCTCCATAGAAAGCAGGTTGTGGGACTGTAACTAACCTCTGTTTCCTTCAGACTTATAATACAAATGAGGAGCTGAAGAAGTTTTACAAAGTTCTCTCCACAAATACGGATGGAAAAATAGAGTTTGTGTCAACGGTGGAAGGTAGTTACAATGCAGTGTCACTTTATCTGTACAAGTTTACAGAAAAATCACACTGAAGGGGACTATTTTAATGAGTGCTTGCTCTTCCCTTACCTCTCGGCAGCGCATGATTACCCAATTTATGGGACACAGTGGCATCCAGAGAAAAATGCATTTGAATGGACGAGGCCTTACATTCCACACTCTTCATCAGCAGTCAAGACCACCTTTTACATGGCTGAATTCTTTGTCAGTGAAGGTATGCACATGGCTTTATTTTTGGTTCTTTCATTAATCGGCAGCTGCACGATAGAGGCTTTGTGATCTGTAAATCTGAATGCATTTTTGATTTCTGTCCTTACAGCCAGGAAGAACTTGCACAGATTTGAGTCAGAGGAGGATGAGAGCAAAGCGCTGATATACAACTACAATCCTGTTTATGCTGGGCCCAAGAGTGGCTTCCAGCAAATATATTACTTCTGATTTATTCTGATGTCTGTTTGCAGAGTGCTTTCTCAATCAGTGCTATCTCAGTCACGTGACTTTAGAGTGTTTGCAGATAATGACTTGTTTGATTTTACATTTGCTGCTCATTCCATCTGTTGAATCTGCAACAAAACCAGAAGTAAACTGGAAATAGGATGGAGGTTTATCTATGCAACATAACATTTTTTTAATCCTGCCCTGCATCAAGCTTTATGTTGGATACATAAAGCTTGATGCAGGGCAGGATTAAAATAAAAAATTTGCTTTGTGGATGCTGTAAGTAGGTTTACACAGTAATTAAATATTACAGAAAGTGCAGATGGTGATAGTTTGATGATTTGTACAACTACAAACATAAAAGATTTTTTTTAAAGCTGTGTAAATCAATATTTTTCCATCAACAGTGGATCAAGTGTTAAATCAGAAAATTATCACCCAACTTGGCAGTTCCCGTCAGCTCTATAAATCATCTTTCAGCTTGCTGCTTTGGTTTTTCTGGCCAGCAAACACTGTTGTCATTAACCCTGATTTGTCGCAGCAGGCAAATGTTTTCCACAAAAAAGCTCTGATAAACAAGTTTAACACTACGTGTGCAGCATGAAATCACAGACAGACAGTTACAACTAGCTAGTGAACATAGTGGAGCATTTAGCAACTGAAGAGCCAGAATATTACTCACGATTTATTGGAGACGAAAAGCAGAGTAAATGTTGGACTTACAGTTAACTGGTCACCAGAAACATGACTAAATTAGTGCAAATGTTTCCGTGTGTCTGCTAGACACATAAATGGGCAATTGTTTGATAACACTTCTTATGACATGTTGGTGTTAAAAAAAAAATTAATATAGCTTTAAAATTCACAAGAGCAAAAAAACATGAGCCAAAAAAAGACTGAAGGCTGACAAAATATCTAGTTTTTTTTATTCTAACATTTACCTTCATGCCACAATCTGACATTAATTTTCCTTCTATGCTTTGGATAACAAAGTTGAGCGTCTTGAAAAAGTCCTCAACCACTGGCAAGAAAGTTTGATGTTGCCATTGGCATTTATAAAGTCCACTTTCAACTCAGTTCAAGGACAGCAACGGGAGAACAGAAATTAAGTCAAATGTAACTTCCAAAATGCTTTATGCACAAATAACACTCAGGTAATATTGTTCTTTTCTTTTTTCAGAATAAAATGATATTTGAATAACATTTACACATCAAGCCGACGAGACTGGGATCTCAATCACAACACTACTGGAGATGTAATTTATGCAATCCAGTAAGGAACATTCAAGATGTCAAAATTACCATGTGGAATTGAGCTATCAGGGATAGTGCTGCAAATAACCTCTTAACATGCACTGAAACGTAAAACACATGGCCATTCAAATAAAATTTAAATAAAAGGAAAATTAAACTTGTGCCTCAAGAATTCACCATTAAGTTTGCCATGTCTTCATTGCACGCTGAAGCTGACAATTTCCCCCTCTTATTTACAAATGCATAATTTCTCTCAAATACTAATGGCCTCTTGCCTTCAACTTTAAAGTTTATTCAGTGGCTTCTGATTAAAACTGCAGTGTCTGTACTGGTGACCTGTTTTCTTCACCTACCATTCTTAAACAGCGTCTAAGCAATGATGCATGCAGATTCTGTACATTTTAGCTTGGTGTAATGATTGATTCTCAGTGTTGTTAAAGTAGCTCTTTTCAATAACATTAATAAAATTATAATTTATTTGAATAATTAGCTATTTCAAGCTATATATTTAAAAAATAGCTGCCATTTTGGAAAGTATGCTTTATTGCTGAGAGTTAGATGGAAAGATTGATACTACTGTCATTTCCTTCTATTAAATCCAAGAGACACTTAGCTTAGCATAAATAATAAAAGCAGAGAGAAAACTAGCTAGTCTGGCTCTGGAGACTCCAGGAAGCCATTGCCACTGGCCAAGAAGTAATCCATGTCATAAGACTCCTTAAATCACAACTTGCAGTCTTTACTCAGAATAAAGAATGACACATTATTAGAGGAGCTACATTGCTTCCAGTCTTTATGCTAAGCTAAGTTAACCAGCTGGTGGCTGATATGACAGTGTAATTACTCTCTTCTCACCTAAGTCTTTACAACAAAAGTGGGTAAGCTTATTTCCCAAAGTGTCAAACTATTCCTATAAAACTAGCCTTGTTGTAGTTCATAAATGCAATCCCACAGCAGGATGTTTTCTAACAAAGTAAGGCACAGTGACTAAAACAAGGTAATGCTAATAACATTTGATAAAACTGGAGCGTCATAAAACTTTCTGAAATGAACATCGAGAAACCCATGGTGTTTTTTGTTTTTTTTCATCCAAACATTAACATTTTGCCAGCTAGAGAATTCTGTCAGCATCACTGAAATACATAAAACGAGGCTACGAGATGAAACCAACATCAGGACATACCGAAATAAAATACAGTAAATCTGTAATAGCCAAATGAATGTTTGTGTGCTATTTTATATACTGTAAGAACAATAGACACAACCACAGTCCAACATGAAAGTTCTTCACAACTTTAAAAATAGTAACATTTCCTGTATCTGCACAATTCCAAACACCTGTTATGAACACTGCCAACCAGTGTTTCTCACCAGGCGTCTGATTTTCATTAATATACAACCCCATCAGTTATGTGCTATAAGGTGTTCCTCTCCTCACAGCTGGAAAGTCTTGCTGATGCGGTCTCTCCACTGCTCAGGGAGCTGGTCCGTCCTGCTGTGAAGGAGACCGCTTTGTGGGAAATCAATCAGTATATTCCATGTCAGGTCTTCAGTCTTTGTTGGCTCTCTGGAGGGCCGTTTGGGTTTGAACTCAGGGCAGAAGATGGGCGAATAGATGGTCGTCTGCTAGAAAGGCAGTCCTCAGGTTCAGCATGCAGACACGGGGAGTGCAAATAAAATTGGGCAAGGACAGATGACAATTTCCACATATTGTGGAAAGCTGTATGCCAGTGTTGTGCTTGGGCACTGGGAGAGGATGGAGGTGGTTCAGTAGGTGAAACATGGGTGGGAAGTATTTGGGGCACATAAGCCTCAGGAGGCTGAGCTAACCCTCGTCTTCACTCTCCTCCTCCAGCACCTCCTCAAACACTATTTCTGGTAGCCTGAAGCATTCCTCGAAGAAGTTGACCAGGGACTGGCTGAGGTGCTGCCTTGTTGCTTCACTGTGAATGAAGTGGCCTTCATCTGGGTAGATCTGACATACAAAGAATATGTTTACATGAGCGAGATGCTGCTTTTGGCCGCATTTTGTGTCATAGACACAAGATCAGTTATTACAGATTATTGTATTTTGACTTCTTATAATAGACTGGTAGAGAGCGAGACAAATCACTGACAGAGACAGAGCACTCACATTCATTATTTACACAAGGGAGAAGATTTTGTCATTGCCACCAACAAGTGAGCCTCAAGAATCTACGTGCAAAATGAGTTTTCCGCTCCAGGAAACTATTTTCCCTCATGTAAAGATGAGACTTAATAATGCTTCCCCATGAATCCAATCTAAGGTTTAGGATTAAGATTTGAGAATAAACCAATTGACACAGGACAGCATATAAGACTAAAAAGGGGAATAAGAATTAAAAATCGGTCACAGGCAAGATTATGCAAACATAGTGTGTACTGTTTGCCATCATATTTTTTGTGGTGATTCCAAATTCATGATTGAGAACCAAACCTAAAATGTCCACTAACCTTTAGTGGACTCAGTAGTATTCAGATCCTTTATCACATTACTTAATGTAAGTAAAAGTACTAATACTACATCCTGTGCAATCCTGCAATGGAAATATTACAGTACTTCAGTAAAAGTATGTAAGTATAATTAGGAAAATGTACTACATATTAAAATAGTAGCGAATAAACAATTTTACTGTTGTAGTTGTTTTTCCATCACTGCCAGTGACCCACATCAGGTATCTTTACATTCTAGTCTGCCTACAGTCTAAGAATGCAACTAAAATTTATTTTAAATACCACATGATCTGTTTATTAATTTAATCAGTTTATTAATCGTTGAATGTCAGAAAATGCCAGTGCCCAAGGTGAAATCTTGTTTGTTCAACCTAAAGTTCACAACCCAAATGGATTCAATTTCAAAGCATGATTTTAAATTGAATACCTTTTGGTTTTGACTTTGGATTAAGACCTAACCTATCAGTGAGTAATAAGCTCCAATGAACATTCAGCTGCAGTGCATTGTATCTTAATTGGATTAGTCCTGGTGTTAATGCAGGATGCCCAAGAAGGTCTCATAATCTCATTATGTGGAATGAAGGCATTGTGAGGGCTAATCCTCTGCCTGCTGTGGGATCCCACTGGGATCACAGTGCTCCCAAAGGTTGGAGAACAACTGAACCAGGCGAAGAAAGACAAGCAGAGAAATTGGATCAGCAGCCGTTGTAATTACAAAGGAGTGAAAGTGAAACCGCATACCTGTAAGGTGTAGTTGGCCTTTTCATTGATGAGCTGGGCAATGAATTTCGCTGTATGTTGGAAATGGACTTTTTCTGGAAAGACATAATGAGACATATGCTAAAATGTCAGAGGCAGTACATCGTTTTGCTACTTGTAAGGTTTAGAAAAAACCCCCAACATTTTCTGAAAGACTTAGAAAATCCTTGTCCTACCATCAGCTGTTGGATGGATAATAAGAAACTTCTTATCCATGAACTGAGATGCTCTGTGTGCTAAATTTGCCATCTGATGAGTAATGAGAGATACAGCAACAAATTAGATCAAATGAGATACTACGACAATTATCACAACTGGAATTTGAAATCTTACCGTGTATGCCCTTGGATCAGGTTTAGGCAGCCCAAGATATCTCTCTGAAAATGCAGAAGCTACAGAGGAAAGAGGGTTTTAATTATTACTTTTGATTTGATTTTGACATCAAAGCAAACTTCATTGTAATAAAAAGATGGATGTGTCATTTCTGCCTTGTTCTCTGACGGAAAAAAATTCCAGGTTTTCTTCTCCATATTCTAATATATTCACCCATCTACATATTCTTTAGTCTAGAAGCTGTCCTCATTTGCAATTCCACACTTATACAGTGTCATGGCATGTCTCTCACCCCCTGGCAAAGCAAGAGAAATCAAATAGATGGGAAATCAGTCACACCGCAACGCCCAGCTCCTCCTTAATTTGCAGTTTCCTGACTCGGTGCAGCTACATGAGCTCTGTCTCTCGAGCTCCGTCTCTCACTCTCCGCCTCTGTCACTCTCTTGACACACGCTATTTCTATATTTCACATGTTTTATTCCTCGGTGGTGGAGGTGAGGCTGGCGTAACTTTGTCTGGCACTGTTATGATTGGGTTCTGGGCGGATCTGCACCATCACACTGAAAGGGTGAACAAGCTCATCGGTTTATCCTCACACATACAGGTAACACATGTCCCTGTAAAGGGGCTGGATTTGCAATCTGAATATACTCTATACGACAGCGATGCCTGAGCCTGAATGATTGTGTTTGTTTACTACATACAGCAGAAACAAGTCCATGCAAAGAAAATTACCATATAATTCAAAGTCAGTGATGGGTGAGAGGACAGCGCCACACTTGACAGGTGATTCCTCGCCGCTGACCAACAGGCTGGTCACATAGCCTCCATACACCTGAGGAACAAAAATGCTTGTTATCGTAGAGCCTGAGGAACTGCACAAACAGACAGCAGGATTTTTTTTACAAACTTTTCGAACAGGTGGTGTAATTCAGATATTGGTAGAATGGAGTATCGCTGCGTTTTTCACACATTGCAGCCTGTTAGGTTCCCAAGCTGACACTCATAACAACATAATAGTGCAACCTGGGTGTTCACAAAGACATGCGGGATTCTTTCACTCACACATTGAGAATATTCTTACCTTTCCAAATGCTCCAACTCTGGTTTTGTCAATGTAGGGCTCTTTCAAAATGAAACTGCAAAAGATAAACATTGGTTCTAGTAAGGAAGAACATTTCTATTTGGACTTTTGTATAGACTGTATCACCAGAACAACTGTAGCCGACACATGCAAGGAACTTTAAAGGATACTATTAATACTACTATTATGACAAGTACTACTTGCAATCATAACACAGATAAGATTATAATACTATTTTACTGCTTCTACAGTTATTCAATCCTAGACCAACTACTTGTGTGCGAGAGCGTGCTAAAAATAAAAGCTAGACACTCTTAAAACAGCAAGTAATTAGAGGAGGTGTTTGAATAGACACGTAAAGGTTTAAGCCACTTGTTTGACATGTTCTTTTCTTGTGAATATATGTGGCACATATGTTCACATTTGTAATTTGGTTGACTGATGTTAACACTATGTGTTAACACTAAGCTATGACATTGATTTTTAGTGTGTGTGTGTTATTGAAAAGCACCTTCTATAATAGATGTATTTTTGTGTGTTAAAACATCTCTATCAGAGCCAACAGTGATCTCTGGTACCCTAGTGTCTATTCAATTTTTAAACAGACATGATGAAAACATCACATACTTAAGAGTATCCTTCTGATCCTGTTCCTCGAACACGCCCAGCCTCTTCTGAATCCTGTGCAGTAGGTTGGTGCCCTGGAAGCCGCTGCCTCGTCCGTCACAGCGCACCACGATGGCACCGAAGCTGCTCACCAGCACGGTGGTCCAGTCCAGGTGAAACTGCTCCGCCACCGTCTGGCCACCAGGGGTCCCGTCGCTGCATGAACACAACCAAGACAAACTTACAACACTGCTAAATGCAATGTTTTTTTTTAAATATCAAAATGAAAATGAAAAGTAGGTCAAATAATTATGAGTGTGTCTGTTTGGGACTCTCTTGGTATACAACATTTGCCTACAAATTCCTTTTCAGAAACATTTAGGCTGTTTTGGGGTGTGAACTATTTATTGTGGGTATCTGTGAGATGGCTGTGCAGGAAAGGTACTGCAACATCAGCAGTACAGAAAGTGGTACAAGGATGAAAGAAAGCAGAACATACAGCAGGCATAACTTAATCCGAAACAGTAAAATTTCATCTCTTAAAAATTATCATTTCAGATTCAGCAGACATAACTTAATCTAAAGTGAATTTGATATCTGCAGATACTCTCTGCTTACTGTCTGCAGTTTAAGCGCCTGCAAGTCTCAAATAATCAAACTGAAACAATATCCGATCCCAAAATAAACCCTTGATGGGAAAGCTGACTTTATTTTGACTCAATAAGCCGTCACGGTCACTTTCATTAAATCGAAAAATTAGCATACAGGGAATTATGGTTTTTATTTAATGCGCAGACTAAGGGCTAAGTTCTGAAAATCTTGAGCTGCAGAGTAAAAGATAGTTAAACGCCTGAGGAAAGAAATGCTAATGAAAGAACTGGGTGGACAGGAGGGTAAGTTTCCTCTCTCAGTGTAATTATTTTCCAGTCAGAGTAGAGGACGAAGCAGCCTGATTAAAACGCTGTCCGGGAAATCTCCATTGATGAGGACAGCCATGTTCTCATAGAACCCGGAGTGAAGTGTGAACATGTGTGGAGTCAACATTGCTAATGGACACACACTTTTTGCATGTACTGCACTCAGAAGTGCATGAAAAGGTGTTCATACATACACAAGCAGGAGCAGTGGATAGTGTGCTGTCTCCACGAACCCGGCAGGTTTGAAGATCTGCATCGACAGGGCTGCAATGCAGATCCAAAAAACACAGTAAAGGCGCAATAAATTCTTTTTCAGTTATTGAGGACATGAACATACACTATCTTTAAATCTAGGGTAGGTAATTTATTTCAGATACATTTTTTGTTATATTTTGGGAAAGTGGCTTCAGAAGGAGGCAGATTTTTTTCGTTTGGATACTTTCAACCACTAGCTGTCTCTCGCTAGTTTCTCCAACGTTGCCTACCCTGGCTTTCATTACCAATAATGATAAAGTATCATTAATAAAAGTATTCGGTACCACCTAACCCATCTAAAAAGAGTTTTATGAAAGTCATAGTTCAAAGTATTTTTTTCTTAAATACACAAAAATAAAGGGAACACAATGTAACTCCAAGTCAGTCACACTCCTGTGAAATCAAACTGTCCACTTAGGAAGAAACACTGATTGACAATCAATTTCACACGCTGTTGTGCAAATGGAATAGACAACAGGTGGAAATTATAGGCAATTAGCAAGACACCCCCAATAAAGGAGGTTCTGCAGGTGGTGACCACAGACCACTTCTCAGTTCCCATGCTTCCTGGCTGATGTTTTGGTCACTTTTGAATGCTGGCGGTGCTTTCACTCTAGTGGTAGCATGAGACGGAGTCTACAACCCACACAAGTGGCTCAGGTAGTGCAGCTCATCCAGGATGGCACATCAATGCGAGCTGTGGCAAGAAGGTTTGCCGTGTCTGTCAGCGTAGTGTCCAGAGCACGGAGGCGCTACCAGGAGACAGGCCAGTACATCAGGAGACGTGGAGGAGGCCGTAGGAGGGCAACATCCCAGCAGCAGGACCGCTACCTCCGCCTTTGTGCAAGGAGGAGCAGGAGGAGCACTGCCAGAGCCCTAGGGAGGTCATACAGGCACGTGGAGGCCACACACACTACTGAGCCTCATTCTGACTTGTTTTAAGGACATTACATCAAAGTTGGATCGGCCTGTAGTGTGGTTTTCCACTTTGATTTTGAGTGTGACTCCAAATCCAGACCTCCATGGGTTGATAAATTTGATTTCCATTGATAATTTGTGTGATTTTATTGTCAGGACATTCAATTATGTAAAGAAAGGAGTATTTATTGATTATTTCATTTTTTTTGAGCAGTGTATATCTGAAATTTACATAGGTATTGAGGAGTAAAAAGTTGGAGTAAATTATAGTACAATTAAACATTACTGATTAAATTTCTGTACTGCAAAGTAGTGATTCCTGGCCTGGGGGTTGGGAGCCCCAAAGGGGTCACAAGATAATCAACAAGATAGAAAAGAAAAACTACACAAAATTAAGCTCATTTTCCTAGGATTTCTAAAATCCCACATAGTTTTCCCCCTTCAGGCCTAAAAATAATTCTAAATAAACAGTCTAAGAGGGGAGAATCTTCACTTTAAAGTATTTGTTTGAGCTAATTGACAATTGCTTCATTTTAAAGGATCAAGAGGCCAAAAAGTTTGGATCCATTGCTGTGCAGTATTGCATTTGCTTCTTATGAGAGTACATAATGTGTTTGCATTGTGTTTGTTTATTGAAATATGTCTTAGTCAGCTATCAGATAATGTGTATTCATGAACTTTACTTGTCCATTAATGTAAATGTAGCTCTGGCACATGAAACATACTGTAGTCATCCATGTTGATCTCCTTGTACTCCACTATAGGCATCTGCATGGAGTCCAGGGTCAGCCTCAGGTTCTGATTACTCTCCAGTTTATATACTTCTGCAATACCTGCACACAGAACATGATAAACAATGAGATTACAGTTTAGAAAGTTTAGTATTAATGTTTGGACAGGAACATGGCCAGAGCTTGCAACCAAGTCATGCTGCAATGTACAGCAAACCTCTGATCTTAACAGTAATACTAAAATTCAGATCGGCTTGATATTGTTTCCTTGTGAATCAGATCAGGTGTATTATTTTACCAGTTAACAAGAGGTTCAATATCAACACAACACTTTTTCATGCAAATCTGTCCACAAAAAGACTATTAAAATATGCATTATGCATACAAGAAAGCAGCTTCATTAAATATCAGAGCATCTCATCCTACAAAACCTTCTGTATGAACTCCAACGGAATGCATACCAGAAAAACTGCAGCTATAATTTTTCCTCATGCCTCAAGAGGTTGTCCTGAGAGCAGAGAACCAGTTGTAACCAGATGCTTTGTGCAACACTAACTTATCACCCTTGGTTGCCATGACTGCTGGAGTCAAAGGCGATGTAGCAACCATTGTATTTTGGGATTGGTTTGTGGATTTTCCCTCCTGGATGCTGCCTTTTGACAGTTTACACAGACTGCTGCCCATACTGACAAACTCATATAAAAGATACCAGGCTAATGGAGAACAGGAATAGGAGAAGAAGAAGAGCTCTGCCTGGATTACTGGCTGGAGCCAACAGTCAGTGTGTTTCTGTATGTATGCATAGAGACTACTTCCGATATGAACTTGACTCTGTCACTGCACAATGTAATTTGACCTATAATGGCCTCATATCCTATTAAAATTGAAGGCACTTTAACAAGACATCTTTATTGGTCACGTTAGCAGAATGGCGATGTCGGCTAGATGCTTGGTCCACTACTTGAAGTTAGCATGCTGATCTTAGCATTTAGCTCAAGTACTGACTCTCAGAGCTGCTAATGTAGCTGGAGACCCTTAGCCTTGTTAATAATGATGGCATACTGATTGCATTTCTATGATTATACTTTATGAATGTGAGTCATGGTGATTTCAACAGATCAGTCAAGGCCTTTTAAAAAAAAAAGGCAAACTCACCAGTTTGGTAGGTGAAAATTTGGGAAACATCATTGCACTTAAAGACACTGTTAAACAGCAGAATACATTGCATAATCTACAGTAATTACATTACACTGCAGCATTTCCATTTCTATCACATTGGTAAAAGATGACACTGACGTGCACACACACACACGCACACTGTAGTAATCTTATTACAGTATGCTGATATAGCCGTTAGGCAGGTCATAATTTAATGAGGACATCCATTGAGAGAAGTAATGTGATTACTGCCATCATGCTGGACTTGGCTTATAGACAAACAGTGACCCACTGGAAACATGGTCATTCTGCACTGCTATGGAAACACTTCTGTCCCCTTTTGACAAGGTCATTTTCAATGTAGCTGTTATGCTACTCTGTATAAGGTCACTCGTAATGTCTTTAACATAATTCAGAGTCTTGTAAATGCAAATCTGTGAATAACTTGAAATACTCACTCTCTCTGTCTTGCGTCTCACTTTCTCCGTCTCTCTGTGTCTTGTAAACAGCTACAAATGGGATGTCCCGCCCTAGAGAGAAAATTAGAAAGTTTGATCCCATCACCAGACTGTCCTGTACTTTTATATTTGACCCTGACATGTGGAGGCTCTGTTTTATGAGGCACTGTTTACATTTCAAAGACATCAGTGAGTGGGTTACATTTTTTGTCTTTTTACAAGGTACAATGGTATATTTAGTTTTTGTTTCTTTCTGTGTTCATCATCAAATGCACGATGACGTCTCCTCCAGTGACTGCAAACAATAAAGCTGCAAAAAAATAAAAACAGGCATCCCCGATCCTTTGGCAAAGAGGCGATTCTTTGCTTATTCAATTTTATGTAATGCAATAGCTGAAATAGCTTTTCTATATCCAGGCCACCAACAGAAGCAAGGTCTCTCTCACACTAGCCCTAAAACCTCAAATCAGAAGAGAAAAGAGAGAAGGGAAAGCAAATTAAGTGATTGATGCACTTAGCAAATTGGGAAACACAGTACAGGAACATTGTGGTTGTGTATAGTGGATAGCACACAAGCCGCTCACTCTCTTTCTCTCTTTTTCTTCCTCCCACTCCCTCTCCCCATGGTAATGATATCATATCCTCATCACATAAATTATTCTAGGCAGACTGTGAGGAGATGTGGATTACAAATGTATAAGGTGCAGAACCATTGACTATCAGCGATTTCTGGGGTCAGCAGAGAGGGTTTGATGGCATCATGGTCATTTCCTGTTTGACCTGAGTTCACTGATGATCACATAGTGAGGTTCAGAGAGGATCGACACAAAATTGTTGGATTAGTGATTACATATTGAAGCTACAAGTCTTCACAGAAACTCATCTTGTCGCTCTATTTTTGCAGCAGCGCTTTGACATTTTTGAAATAACATTCTTTTGGCATTTTCGTGACCAACAGGAAATATGGACGATAGGTGGAAGGAGAGGAACAACAAGACGGGAGTGCATTTGTTTCATTAAAAACTGGGGGATAGATACACAAAGCGCGGGTCTATTTTTAGCACAATGTTACTTTTTTGATCATTAAGTGAGCAGGAAATACTGAAAACACATGCTAGAATAATGGTGAATGTGGTAGTAGAAATTAAGTACATTTATTCAAGTCCTGTACCTAAGTACAACTTTTAAATGTGTGTGTTTCACGTAATTATTTCCATTTTATGGTACCTTATACTTTACTCCGCTTTATTTCAGGAGGGAAATGTACTTTTTGTTTCATAACATTTACAAGCTATTTGGCTGCCACTTCAGCTGGTAAAATCCCTCTAGCTATCTGAAGGATGGATGATGGATATTTGAACTACAGCCTCTGCTGCAAAATTATGGCAGAAACTGGCTGGCTAATATATTCTATTATTTCCTTGTTGATGAAACCGAACTGGATGATTGGACTCTTGGTGAGCCATTTTCATTATGGTTTGTAAAATGGTAGGGAATGAGTGATGTGACTGGCTCAAGGGAAAATTATTAATCACAACCCCCCTCTGATTTGTACATCACACTTGTATTAGCTGACCCTGTTATGCAATGCTGTGCTGTTATTAAAGTAGCAGGTGTGCTTAGATCTCCCCTCTTTGACCCTGTGCACATGTGCTTTTTTTAACATTGTTTAAAAAGAGTCCTAGGTGTCTACATAAGGTGAATAAGTAGGACAAAGACTTGAGAGGGAAGATAGAGGCTGATAGAGTTCAAAATGTAGGGGGACATGAGTCAAAGTTATCGTGTTAGCTACCTTGGCAGTTTAACAGGAAATAGCTCATGTTGTGGCTGAAGGAGCCGCTGATGTAGCCACAGCTGTCGGACAAGGCGCACGACAGACAGCGGCGGTTGAACGAACCAAATGTGTCCGCGCTAAGGAAAAAAAGAACAAGACATTTAACATTTAACATTTTGGAGACTTTTTCAAAATCCGAATGAGCAAAATGTATATAATGTTGTACTTCCAAAACAACAGCTGCTGATAAGATAATGCAGATTAACAGCCATTACCTGTACAAATGTCTTCGCTTTGGACCATCCTCAGTGCTCAAGAAGTATCTACATTAATATAGGAGAACACAGAATGTCATGGCAGCAGATTTTGAGTTTAGGTATAGCATATACAAGTTTTAGACTTTTTGTGGCTTAAGCAGAGCTGTGTTCACCACTCAGCTTGGGGAGTGGGAAAAAAAAAAACACCTGGAACACACAAGCAGCGCCACATCTACTCACTAGAATAGATGTTTCATAAATTAATGATGGGGGGGAAAGGGGGGTGAGGTGGTGTGTTGTGGGGGGATGAGTCCTTTTAGAAGTAGGAAGAAACAGAAGTAGGCCAAATCTTACCCCCTTGGGGAAGAGGTTTTGTGTGAGAGAGTTTTTCATGTGACTTCAACACTGGCGACGAGTAACTTTGTTTGTTGTACATGTTTGTTTGTTGGTGATAATGCAAGTGTGCACATGTGAGATCATGTTAATCGGATCACAGTTGCCTTGTGGCCTGGAGTGTGGGTGTGAAACGATCTGGGAGTGTTGGGGATGAGTCACATTCTTTACGGGTGCAACAAAGGCGCTTTTTCGTTGAACACATTTAGAGCAGTTTATTGTGTGGAGCTGTACCAGCTGGTTGAAGAACCCGAAGCTCAGCACAGGAGACAGGAAGTATAGTTGCTGTCTTGTAATCGATATACATCTTGTAAATAAACAGGGTAATTTATCTGTTGTACACCAACAAACAACCTGCTTCACTGTGCTCTGTCCGTGTAACTGAAGCACTCAAATGCAGGGAGATACAGAGACACCCAGCATGTGAATGGGGGGGTCTCGCTCCTTCTCTGTCAGTGGTGCTGTAATATTTAACCCATTGTCTCTCTTGTATGAAATCGTCAGCAAAATCCTTCCTTGAGATTTGCTGAAACAGCAAACATGTCAATTTTCTTCAGAATGTTTTAAGATCTTCTTATCACATGAACTGGTATTTTGTTCAACCCTATATGTTTAAATTTGACATGATTTACAAGAAAACAAGTTTAAAAGATGTTTCTTATAAAATTTGTATTTAACTTTAATTATCTTCTTTTATTATTATCTTATTGTCTTATTTTTTTTATATCTAGGTGTGGTGATGGAGCAGTGGATAAAACACATGCCTTAGTTGTTGAAGACCTGGGTTCAATTCCCACTGTGACATCCACCAATGTGTTCCTGAGCAAGACACTTAACCCCTAATTGCTCAAAAGGTTGTGACCTCTAATATATATAGCAATTGTAAATCGCTTTGGATAAAAGCGTCAGCTAAATGACTGACTATTATTATCATAGCGTTCAAGCTGAGCGTGCTGCTCATGTCCTCATTATGACAAAGACAGCTGACGTTGTGTTTAGCCAAGGTTATAGAGAGTCAAACCAGGTTTAGTTTAAAGGCCAAATCTCTCACACAATGACAGTATGAATGAATTCAAAAATATCCAATAAATGAGCTGATAAATACGCGTCCATACATGTGACTTTCGTTTGCTTATAATTAAAAACTGCGGTTCCTACATACAGGAAGATGACTACAGAACTGTAACAGTTGTTTTTTTGCCATGACTGGGAGGGTGATGCTGGTTTGGTTTGTGGGTGCTCACATCAACTGGCTGTCCTCATTATAGGCCAGGACTTGGGTGACATCCCAGTCTCCAGATGTGATGGATTGCAGTGTGTCTGTACTGGTGTTGGGCTTTGGAAATAAACAGAAAAGTACAAGAATGTGGTGACTTCATTGTATGATGGCAATTGCATATTTTGACAATACAATTACTTAAAATGTGCATAAAATACCAAGAATAACTGCAAAATGTTTAACTGCAAAATTGCCTATTGATTTCGACACTCATTCTTACAAAGTCGTTGGAACATAAAACACATTTTAATTAATTACATTCACTGTCAGTTATAAGGATTATTTATAAGGATACAATAATCAGACAGTATAATAAACATGATACATGTTTGTTAACTCTTGCTAAACAATACTGTACACATAAATATCCTGCTACCTGAGAGATGGACATGGAGATGTGGAAGAACTTGCCCCTGCCTCCTTGAGGAATGGCACGAGTAAAGAACAGCTTCAGCCCATCTTTGGAAAACAGAGGCTTCTCATTCTGAAGACGCAGAGAGTATTTTATTTAAAAACTATATAAATAACTTGGTAAACGTAAAAGTTATCCAATTTACAAAAGACAACAAAGCCTGTAACATTGCCAGAGCAGATTCTAAGTGCTGCAATCAAAAACTCCAAATACATCTTACATGTGTGTCAATATTCTCACCTGTCTGTGCAGCCATCCTTCACTTTCATCCTCATGTTTCTGTAGAAAGAGGTTGGCATGTTTCAGTTGATGTATGATCACTGATAAATACAGTACACATAATAGTAGAACACACAAAAGACTCAGGCGTACCTTTGTGCAAACTCCCGTTGTGGCCTCACACAGTGTAAGTATCGAGATGTTCTGGGCTCTGTTCAGCCAGTTGATGGCCAGCTTGGTGGTGGTGGCCCATTTCACCATGGTCACGTAGTACTCACTGAAAAACACAAAGAAACGATTAAATAATGATTAACTTTGTTTATATTGCAAGTTCTGCTGATCAGTAAATGGTCAATCACTGAGACAAAACTGTTTGTGACAAAAAAAAGTGCCAAAATGTTTCGATTTACTAATTGTAAATTGTGATAGAATTTTAAAAAGGGATGAAACATTAATGATCTTGCAGAGAAATTGAGATATTAGAGCAGCATATAATGAGCCACAGCGGAATAAAGGAGGAATAAAAAATTGGGTATAAATACGAAAAGAGCAAATGAGGGCATTAAACTTAATGGGACTAAACACAGAACCACATTAAGTAAAAATGCATCACTGGAGACATAAAATTTACAGAGTCTGTGCAGGATATGCAATGACAGCAGCAGAAAATACGGATACAAAGGAAATTCAAAGAATATGATTTCTGAGAACTATGCTAACCTGTATAGCATCAGAAAATGAATATATAGAGACTGTTTACATGTGAGAGAACATGTGAATATGAACATGTAAATTTATGGAATGAATGCAGGTGTAAAATGTGCATCATTTGACTGAGTAGAGCGGTTGATTAGTTGACAGCCTGACTGCCTCACCCTATCCTGGGATCATCAGGTCTCCTCATCTCGATGGTGTGAAGAGGGCCGTTTAGGTTCACAACATACAGCGTGATAACTGGGTTCTCCTCACCGGCCTGAATGGGACACAATAGGACACAAATAAAATTTTTATTTTATAACAACACTTCTAGCAAAAACTAAATTCATCAAAGTGGTGTCAAGGATAAAACTGTGCACCTTAGGGTAGTGGTACTCTTTCCCCATTGGGTAGGGGGAGCCCGTGAACATGGGCAGTTCCATTCTGGGCACCAGGGTGTCATTTATGGTGGCGTATGCTAACCTGGCACCATCTGGAGACCACCAATGAGCAATATGGGATTGGAAAATCTCCTCTGGAAGAGTGAGAAGAAAATGACCATCAATCATAATGACAGTGAATAAAAACTCACACAACAGAGAGACAAGTTAATTACATGGCTGCAGGCCAGCAGAAGATCACTGTTGTTCCTTGTCAGAGTTAGAAATGAACAGGTGTTATGGGAGAAATGTGTATAAAATACTGTATCACTAGCAGTACTCTTTTTATTGCAATGCTCTCTGTTTCACAGAAACTCATTAAATTGTTCCCACATGAATGTTGTCTGCTATTGTTCACTGTACTGGATTTATGGATGTAAACTTGAGCGGTTTGCTCCGTAAATGTAAATGTTCTGTATTTGTATAGCGCCTTTCTAGTCTTTTCGACCACTCAAAGCGCTTTTACACTACCTTGCATTCACACACATTCATACACTGAGCCTAAGAGCTCAAACAGAAACTAACATTCACACACATTCATACAGTGGCGGAACAGCCGCCACAGGGGCAATTCGGGGTTCAGTATCTTACCCAAGGACACTTCGACATGCAGCCTGGAGGCGCCGGCCTTCCGATTAACGGGCAACCTGCAATACCTCCAGAGCCACCTGCTCTACCTCCAGAGCCACGGCCGCCCCGTTTGTGATAACACAACAGTCAGAAATGCGTAGCTTGAGCAAGTGTCAAAGTGAAAATGCCAATACCCACAGTACCAGAAGAAAATACCAGTTCATTAAAAACCATTTAATCAAAATATGAAAATTAATTATTATACACTCCCCCCCCCGCCAAAGTGGCAGCAAATAAAGTGGCGCTCTCTGCCCTATTACCAATACAGCATACTAACTCTTACCTGACCTGTTTACTATATTTGGACTCACTCAAATCTACACACAAACACACACACACAGAGTACCAAATGGCGAGGTCATAAATCACAGCAGCTTTTAATCTGGGTACAGCCTATTGACCAAAATAGAACTCCGCTACATTTCCTAGAAATGAACCAAAGAGCAATTTCTCACCAGGTACAACTACACAGAGCACTTCACCAGAAAACTTTAGTTCTTGGGTTGTTGTAATCTCCGTGTTCGTGTGTGTGTGTACCATTTACACCAAGAAACTCACTTCAACTCACTCCAGACCTGCGACCTAGAGGGTTTCCCTTGAGACCCTGAGCGTGCAGGTGTGTTTATGTAGCAATCACTCACACTCTTCAAAAGACAAAGAAGGAACATAACGGGGGACAAGAGCAGTCCAGGTCCTTCATCTCTGCTGCTACACCTACTCCTTGTCAAGACACAGTGAGTTATTAAGAAATTATGCAAATAAAAGCTCACGGACAGAACTTTTTGACAACATAAAGCATGGCTGTGACAATTCTACTTCATTATTAAGTCTGTGGCGACAGCGCAGACGGCATCGAAAACAGTTCGACTTATTGTTACAGCGTGCCACTGGCTACATTTAAATCAACTTTTGCAATTAAAATTTCATTAATGCTGTTTATCTGTGGGGCTGGGTGCTGGCTTTGGGGAATTAACAGACATCAACTACCAATTAGCATTTTCATTAACTGTGCACGCTTGGTAGAATTACTTGAGATGCAGCATCATTTGACAAACACCCCCCAATACAGACGCTTATGTACGTTTGTTCTCTAAAGCAGTTCTGCAAATGTTATAGCGCCTGTAGTGTCTTCCACTGCTGGACACTGGTCAAATAATTATAACACCAGACATCTCCGCTAGTGAAAAGAAGAAATAGGGCTAAAGGCAACATTTAGTCCAGTTAGTCTTTGCTGTCCCTGCATGCCTGGTGTGTCCAGCTGAACCCTGCTGGCACAGCTCAGTGGGGAATAATTGGATCTCACTGTCTGATGATGAACAGAGCAGCACAGCACAGCATTATGCTACATTTGCAAATGACGAAAAAAAAAATTAAATAATAAAAATGATTTCCCGCATGGCCGGTTCTGCCGCTGCCTGCTGACTTCACCAGCGGCAGCTTAAAAAGCTTTCCATGTGGAGTGGAACCACCGGGCTGTCGGATGCGCTCGGCTGGGGCCGCCCAGTCACCTTGGCTAGTCGAGGAGAAAGTAGTTTCCAGAAGAATCCTGACGTGTGCGTGACAATAAAAAAGTGAGGGGATGAAAGGAGAGACAGTAATAATGAGAGAAGGGAGTTTTAAAACCACTTTTGATGAGAATTGAACCTCTAATTGTCTTTCACTTGTGTCATTAGATTGTGTCTTTCTTTTTCTAGCCGCCTCATTATGATTATTTCCAACTTGAGCTTTAGGAGGCTCATCTCCTTGTGCTCCATGTTCTCCATCCTGCAGAATATATTGTTCACTAGGTAAAAGACATGATTAATGCATGAGACACCTTGAGTCAAGTGGCCAATGGGAAATGGTGAGTGCAAGGAGCAGATACAGGGACGCTGAACAAATGAGAAAAAGCAAAGACAATGAAACATTGCAGGTGGCATTTTGTCCATTTCTTGCTACTAGTAAAAATACTAAAAACTATATGCCTATTGAGGTTACGAGGCATTTGGTAGTATTAAAGGCTCTAGTATTGACAAAGTGATCAAAGTCTACCACGTGTTTCCAACAGAGGGCAGCAGTGTCACATGCTAAAACCATAAAATAGAGCAGCACCAGAGCACAGAAAGATATGCAGTTTTTTTTTGGAGTCCAGCTACTTTCCTCTTGTGTTCTGAATATTCACAGCCAGTAGTCCACCCCACCAATCATAGGTAACACTTTAATCAATCCTACAGTCACCTGTACCAATCACACAAGACAAAACAAAAACCCTAGAAAAGCTGGCTTGGATTTATTATGCCCCACTAACTGATCGTGAACCAATGTATTATTTTGTCCCAGTAAATGTAACTAAAAGAAGAAAGTCACTAGTTTGCTCAAGTTGAAATGTGACAGCAGAGACACACCCTTCTCCTAGCTCACTGACAGGCAGGTTGTTTAGGTGACATGAAATTCTAGTTTTCCCACCCAACATGCCAAAAAAAAACAAAACAACAAAAAAAAACATGTCAGTGAAACATAGCTGTTACTATAAATACTGTGACGAAGACGCCACTGTGCAGACTGAGGTGAGAGTGCAAGTGATAATTAAGCAAGAATAGAAAAGCACATGACAGAGTGAGGTGAGATTTTGCTCAGCATCTTCAGACATCTACAGTTTGTGGCTCAATCCAAAAACAACAGTGCTATACGAAGAAAGTGCTATTACAGTGAGTAGTGTTGTTTTTTTTAGCAGGTCTATATTAAGAAAACAGAAGAGTAGGAAAGATGTAGAGGATGTAGCCCCTGAGTATACATCTACCCTGCAATGGTACCAAAGACATATTTTCAGTTTGTTATTTCTTGGTCTCCCTCTCTGGTGCTGTTATATCGTAAAACTTCAATTAAAAGCCTATTCCCAATTAGATGCCTGATGCTATTACTGACCTGATGTGTCTACATGTTTTGACAAATAAACACAGGTCTCAATTAGAAGCCAGGTTTGGTTTTTACAGAGGTTCTTTGCATGTATAAAACCTCTTGAAGCCCACTGGGTCACCTGCTTGAGTTTAGTACTAAGCTGCTTAGATTGTGCATGCAAATATAAATGTTTAAACTTTTGTCAATATGGACATGCTACACATCATTAGATCTGTTAGATTCTCCACAATTCAATGGTTTACTTAATGTTACAGAAATAGTGAGCACTAATATATTATTCATTCAGATTTATTTATTGGCATAGGCGAGGGATTAAAGGCCTGTTTCAACTATAGGCAGCGTGATTTCAGAGATTTAAGCAAATAAAAAGCCTGAATAGTAATTGACGTTTTATGGTAACTTACACAGGAAGTTGAGTTTACTTGTCACAAGGAGTCCTACTTAGGCTTCAAAACAGTTGTAAAGTGTAATCTGTCGATCTGGAGGGAAATTTGACAAAATTACCCTGATGAGGTCACCAGGGTTTGAGATGAAATTTTTTGACAGAAACGTTGCGTTACAAAAATGCTAGGTTTAAAAGAAAAGGCCATTTAAGAACTTGACCCATACCACAAACTAAAAGTCAGGGTATCTCAACCTCTGCTTTTCAATTTTCCCCCATTCTTTTAGAAATATGTCTCTTGTGAGCCTCTCCCAACTTTATGGAATTGTAATACTAAATTACTGGGGTACCCCTTTTACCCCGTACTTTACACAGACCACTTCTTTTTTCTGTACTGTGATGTGATTGACAAGTGACACTCTTTCCTTTTGACTGTACAGCCATGTTAAGATACTCTATCTAGATGACTATTTACCCTTCTATTATAAACAACCCTCTCTTCCTACCAAAAACATCTCTTTTACCACCAGGTTGAATCACTATTGTTTTACAGTATATGAATGGGAAATAGAAATTGCAAAAACATATATTTATTTCCCCCATGCAAGCATTTGTTTCCATGATTTCTACAGATAATTAAAAATACAAGCCTAAAGACATTATTTAGAATGTTAATTAAACTGTCAATGCACAGCTTTGCTGATTTGATCCTAAAATTGTGGCAAAAGAAAAAAAAAAAATCACTTTACTAATAACTCCAAATCAGTACTCTACAAAGAAAATATCAAAGAAATAAATACAAAATCTTGCACAAAAAGTTTCCTTTCATGCTGAAAAGACTGTTTGAAACTGACTTTCACAAACCTGATTTTTGAGAGACAATCCACAGGAAATGCAGCTTGGATTCACCAGCTGTGTGTCTCACATCAGTTTCAGCTTGCATTCACACCAAACTAAAACCAACATTTTTTATTCCCTTTATTAATCTTTCCCTTTACAGCCCACACGTGTTGATTATGTGGTTACTCTATGTCCCTCAGGCTCAGCCACAAACAGAGCGATAAACAGACACAAGCCTGCGAACAAGCCTCTTGATGCAAACAGTCATCTAGCCAAACATCTATGGGGCAAACATGACTCAAATCAAAGCAACGCCGGGTTTTTATCTCAGCGCACCAGCTCCCAATAAACAGTTGTTTCCTTGGGCTGCGTCACACTGCAGGATGTGTCAGTATCAGTGCAGCCTCAATAATCAGACAGCCGACAGATGACTGAACACTTGAGACTCTCCCGAGGCGTTTTGGACTATTACACACAGCCAATGGTGTCCCTTTAATTTTTTCCCCCCGTCTCTTTTGGTCTCTCCTAAATTCACATTACAAACACACACTCATGGATTAAACAGCAATGCAAGCCAGAGGATATTCAAGCCTGGGAGATTATTTGCCAACCTTTCACCCCTCAGCATCAAATCTGCCGCGCAGCGACAGCCAGAGCTTAAGACCTCATTTTTCCTCAGCGGCAGTCTGAGCCTCAGCTTGACCTTGGCCAGAGCAGAACCTGAGTCATTAGCATGGAAAATCTTCTGCCTTGCAGACTCACTGATGAACGTAAACATTACACAACCCGGCGTGGCTTCTAAGCTCCCCTGCAGATGCTCTCATCAACACATCAATGGCAAATCTATTTACAGGATTATACAATTTTTTTAACGGAGATTTATCATTAATGGGAATGAAAATTACTTTTAGTGTATAAGCAACAATAAAGAAATAAAACCAGATACAAATAAATCAAGATATCATCATCATCAGCTACTAATACAGAATACCTGAACATTAAACCCATACGTGACTGTTGAAAATCTCAATCTAAAATCATGGGCATTAACGTGCCGTTATAACAGCCTGCACTCTTTTGGGAAGGTCTTCCACAAGATTTTGGAGCCTGGCTGCAGGGATTTGCTCCCATTCAGCCACAGAAGCATTAGTGAGGTCGTCCACTGTGAGATAAGGCCTGGCTCACAGTCGGTGTTCCAGTTCATCCGTAAGGTACTACAAGGGGTTGAGGTAAGGGCTGTGTGAACCTGGCTTTGTGCACAGGACGAAACAGAAAATACCATAAAAACAGGAAAAATCCTAACCTATCATTCAATGATGTAGCATTAAGACGTCCTTTAACTGGAACTTACGAGCATAGATATCCCAAACCCTGAAAATGCTTTTGACCATATAGTGTATTTACATAGTTGTAAAGCTACCAAGGTAAAGTAGTATGTTTAAAGGGGAAAAAACATGCTGAATTTAATTGTAATACTATTGTTGTAAAAGGAGTTTTAGTGTAATCACATTTTTTGGTGCTTTACTTCACTGCAACTTGTGTTTTAACAACTTTTAAAGAAAGGGTTTGACTTAAGTCTACCCTCATTTATATAAATGGGATGGACAAAATAATACAAACACCTATCAGTATAAGGCAATACAATTCGAACTACAGCCTTCATACAGATGAATCAACACCTTTCCCAAACATTTACATTTAGCTTACAATTGTATGCCAGAGGTCGCAGGCCTCTAGAGCAACTAGGGGTTAAGTGTCTTGCTCAGGGACACATTGGTGGATGTCACAGTGGGAATCAAACCTAGGTCTCCGACACCAAAGGCATGTTTTTTATCCACTGGTCCATCATCACTCCAAACTTACAAAATCTGAATAGTGCAAGCTTCATGTGGCTATGATTAAGGGCAGTGCTGTTCAACTATAGCTTGCTGTACCTAAAAAAACTGGCCAAAGTAACCATGATTCCCAAACATTAGTGTAAGCCTGTTATGTTTCAATTTTGCTATAACTACCTTATTATCTCTAGATATATCTAATAATGAAGTACAGGCTAACAAATACAGTGAAGATAAGCACAAATATTCTAATTTATTTTATATCTCGAGATAATGAAATACATTTTTCTGTTATCAAACCAGAGGACAACTGGAAGAATCTCAACATGCCATTACATCACATTGAAAAGTATGTTTCAATATGCAGGAACACAAACACACACAAAATACAATTCTCTTGTTTCACAATTCACTTTTATCTCAACATTATGAAGCTGATTCTGTGTTTTATCTCTCAGCGCAAGATTTATGTGGTCAATAAATGATGAGTGTAAATTACCAAGCCTTCAGAAGCGCAAAAATATGAGTCAGGGGGTCAGACACTGCAATAACGCTCCGATTAATGTTTAAATGGATGAGAATGGATATTGCTCTTGAACGATGGATGCGGTTTCCAATGACAGCCTGGCTAATGCACAGATAAGAGGAGCCGTGGGTTGATAACATTAAATAAAAACAGACCAAGAGGAAACATAGCTCTAGTCCTGGTGTACTGGTAACCTCAGATAATTTCTGCATCACAGCTTCTAAATCCTCAGTGGCCTCCTCGGTGGCAGCCATTCACATTATCAAACACATATATATTGTGTTATACTACATCCATGAGGATTAACAGCGTACTGTATATCATAGGCTGTCTATATTTCTGCTATCTCTACATCTATGTGCTTGCTGCTCCCGATGTCCCTCTCGCTCTGTTATTAAAACGCTGTTCCACTGGAGCAGAGAGTGCACCCAGCACAGCGGATATAAATTCATTAGTTGAATGCCAACACATCACCCATTCGTTTTTGCTGCGAGGCACACAGGTGAGCTTTGATCGGTGGCGTTGACGCTTGGAGTGCAGCGTGACATCTGTATCAGAGTGTGTACAACACACGCCACTGATGAATTAATGCAAATCAACTGATGTAGAACATTCATTCATTTTCAGGGCTTTTTTAATTTACCTGTAGGAAATCAAGTGCTACACGCCAAAAATACTAATGTGGCTGCAGACGCTCCGGAGTCACACTGTCTCATGTCATTACTCACTAATATATGTGCAACTGCAGAAGTGTTTAAATTAGAGCAAGAAGATGGAGAGGGACTATAGATGGAGGAAAGAGGTTAACTTTACATATTTTCAATATTGGTCATCATGACTTAAGTCAGCAGTTCGGAACATTTTTACCATATGACCCTTTAAAATGAAGTATTGTCAATTTGTGATCCCTCTCCCATATGTTGCATTATGCAAATGACTGGTGAGTAGTTCCTGTGGTGGGAGTGGGAGTGGTGAGAGTGATTTTACTATCTCAAAATTAGGCTTACTGAGGTGCAAGTATTCATTTATTTTGTATAGTGGAAATGTGTCTTGTTATCCATCTGGTTTTTTTAATCTATACAAAGCACAATCATATCCAAAAGCCAAACTTTTCCTTTAACAGCAACATTTTTTCTGTCTTACCTTCATACAGCCAATCACTGAGCCCATTGAAGATGACCCCCTCCTTGCCAGTAGACACCAGACGAATGGAGCGGCTCTCCACTGTAGAGCGATAGTAGATGTTGTTCTCAAATATGAAGATCTAAAAGAAAGAAAGGAAATACATTTTAATCAGATTCTTAAATGGCAAAACAAAAGAAGAATCATCATCAAAAAGGAAAGCAGCTACCGTCAGCTGCTGAACTGTCCTTCCTGAATCCCTGACACCGAATCCCTTCCAGCTCTTTTGACATTGGTCTGTAGCTTATTGCGAATAAGCTGTTACATCATTATTATTATCAACACGCACAACAGGAAGCCTGAGGACAGTCTGGTATTTATACTGACACGTTATATCGCAGGTGGGAGACCTGGCTAAGGCAGAGGTCCTGCTATCACAGCTAAGATCATCCCGGGGGTCGAAACGGACATTAGCATGGTGCGTTTTCACCTTTCACAGACAAGAGATCAGTGTACCTATTGGCAAAAGCACCTTTTTATTAGAGGAAAAGCAAAGTTTCTGACAATGGTACAAAGAGAAAAAAAGAAATCTTTTCAAATAATAAGATGGCAAACCTTGGGACTAAATTTTGACTTTGACGCTCTCCTCCACAGGCCTGCAGGGCTTTCAAGATAACTGAAGGTCAACTCTTTCATTACAGAGAATAATAGATCATCAGCAGCCGCGCTGAACGTGGTAGGGCAGGGCAGCTCTTGGGGCTGGAATTTTAAAATGCTACAGCCTTAATGGCATGTTGAAATCAATCTCAGGCTATTACAGAAAAGAGTTCGCTCAGTATCTCAAGGATTATGGAATCTCCTGGCCTCGAGCTGGTATCATGGTATCAGTTTGTGAATGATTCTCCAAAAAATATTCACTATGTGAAGTCTAAATGACGGTGTACAGCAGGGAATCCAATACTGTAGCTGTACATGATTTCTGTGTGTTAATTTCTTACTTCTTTCTACAGTGTAAAAAGAGTTGACGCTACAAGAAAACACTACTCTACCACATGGATTTACAGTAAGTTAGCATTTTGCAATCTTTCACTATACACGGTCTTGTATAGCAATGGGGAATTTACTGTTGTATCCACGCTGAAAAACAAAGTAGCTAGCTAAAGGTTTCTCCCCTAAACCCTGCATCTCTTTAAAAGGTAACACAAATCTGTCACAATTAGTTTCTCTTGAGGCCCATGTGGTTTGATGCCACTTTGGTGCAGATGGAGTCCCTGTATAGAAGCTAATCTAGGCCACGGCACAGACAGAAGACCTGGCCCCGTTCTCTGAAGGAAGACAGAACTCTGCCAGTGATGGCTGGGATCCACATTTATCCTCAGCGAGAATATTTGGAGGCGATGATACAAACTTCGCTACTTTAGTTTAGTTTCTTTGGGCTGGTGAGAACAATGCCATACAACTGAATCTGCGGCAACACAATGAGAAAATTTATTCTATTTCACTTCTTTCCTAAGGAAACCATGTTGCGGTTTAGGTAGGAGAACGTAACCTTAACACATTAAAAGGAAACAACAACAACATGTAAGCCACGTATTAATGTGTTCAAGTGGTATTAAAAAGGTGCACTCCACTAACTTTAGCTCTACAGATGGCTATGTTGGTCAGTCCACCACTTTGGTCCAGACGGGAATATCTCAACAACAATTGGCAGTGAAATTTGGTACAGACATTCATGGTCCCCCAGTGGGTAACTATTGACTTTGGTAATCCTTTGACTTTCTCTTTCAGACCAAGGGGTTTGGACAACTATTGGATGGATTGGAATTTGGTTAAGACATTCATGATCCCCTGTTCATGTTCTAGTAGCACTGGCAACCTCATAACTTTTCATCTAACACTGTTATGAGGTTGAAGGTTTTTTCTCAAACTTTAGTCTATGATTTATGAGCCCACCTGTATTTTCTGTTTAGTGCTATTTAGCTAATGTTTGCATGCTAACATGCTAAACTAAAGTCATTGTGAGCTTGTTAGCGCTGCTGTGCCTCAGTACAGCCTCACAAAGCACAAGTAGTGACTCTATTTTTTAAATGGAAAGCCTGTAAACTAGTAATGTGGAGTATTTAAACATGGGCCAAGTAGGAATGGCCTAAAGAAAGATGCTATCAAGATAAATTCTACTAAGTGTACGCTCCAGAGGTTTTGGATCTTGAGTTTTTTGGATTACGCTACAAAGCAAATATTCCATAGTTGTGGATCAAAGACACTCTGTACTGATAAGTTATTTGGACAAAGTCTTACAGTTTTGTCTCTTTTTCTCTAGGTCTCTCTCTCTCCAATGTAATACAAAGGTTAGACCTCCAGCGGCTGAGCGTCCAAATGTTGATTGTGCGAATCTGTGTCAGCCACGTGTTGAAGATTAGCCTTCTACAGGAAGCATGCAAAAGAAATTCACTGGAGGATTTACATTCCACAAAAAAAGAAAAGAAACATCTTTGTGCAGACACAGGCCTCTGTATAAATAGGATGCCACTTATTTACCCAGTTGCATTTACTTTTTAGCCTAACAAATAGCTTAACATGTGGCTAGACAGCTGTGTTTGTGAGTGTAAATATGGGGATGTATGTGCTCATCCTCATCGTAAAGTAAAGGAGATTTAAATGTGCATAAGAGATTTGAGAACAGGATAACAGGTGGGCTGATTTATGTATATTTGATGCCTTGGCTTTCAGACTGTGTTAGCTTGTTTTAGCTGATGGACATTTCTCACTTCGACCTCCACCTTTTCGACAGAGGACATCTGAACTTTCAGGAAAACCAGATGCTGCTCTGTTTCACGCTAACTTAACTCGCCTGATGGAAGTAAAACCACCTCATGACTAATGGTGGGAAACTTGAGGCTATATCAATCTAGCAACTGTGTTAATTAATCCACTGACGAGATAACAGGTAATTAATAGCATTGTGCTGCAGGATGTTATTACTTACAGTCTGTCTGCCCTGCAAACTAACAGACTGAAGCTCATTAATGCTCTGACAAGTTCGACTGTGTGATGATAGAGGCGGAAAATGACTCATCTTGGAACAGTTGCAAAGGACCATTGCTTCTTGTGATTCAAACAAGTGTTTAATTTGAAATTTGTTTACTGGGAAATCTCAGTGAATCATTAGGATGATTTGCACCCTGAGGGACAAAATAGTTTGTGTTTGTGTTTTGAAGGACTCAAACTTATACCATACCATTCGCTTGAGGGAAACGCTGCCTCGGAAATATAAAGATTATCTGATTCCTAATCCCCCAATATTTCTAAACTGAATTTGTCTTAATCAGCCAACAAGGCCTGTCCCATTTTTTTATTCCAAATGCAGCTCAGAACTGCAGCTGTCTTCACACCAAATTTGGGGGACACAGCCGGAGAATCCTTTGCAGTTTCCCCCAAACCACCGTGCGCTGGTTGATTTACAAAGTAATGGAGCGCTCAGGTGATCCTGCTCAGCTTGTAAAGTCAGAAAATGTAATGTGATGTACATCACAAATACTTTTGTTTAGGGGGTCATCAATCACTTGTAAATCGATCACATGAAGTGGACCAACGCAAAACTGAAGGATGTAAATAGTGGACGTCAGACATAAACTCCACAGTTTGTTTTTGTTTGCAGTCTGGACAGTTTGTGAATCAGAGTAGCATTACCCTAACACCTAGTTTGCCAGTTGTCAAATGTGTGTTTAAGTGAAATGTCTCCAACCTCAGATATGCTAGAACATTTCACCATTCATATTTACTCAGCCGTTTAAGGTTAATTTCCTGAAATATTTGACTTTGTAATTTGACAAAGAGCACTTGAATGCACCATTAGTTTTGTTCTATGAAAGCTTGACCCACCTTCAAAGGATTTGACATCTGTATTACGATTGACATTGGCTTTTGCACAGAACTGCAAATGAAGTAACATTAAAGCTGCTCTAATCAATGTTTTTATAATAATAAATCAAATGACTATATCTATGTAAATGGTGTCGCTCGTACTGATGAATCCAGAGTGACTCACTCTGTACACTACCTGCCCAACACCAATTGACAGACGTGGTTAGCAACTAGCTGGTGAACACTATTGGACTTGCAATCAGCGGATACAGACATAAATTCAAATGAATGCTAATGTTGCGTGTCTGCTCGACGTATAAATAATTGCTAACACATTCACCATATCAACTTTATATGGTGATGATCTGTCAGTTTTCTGTGAACAGCTTGTTGCGCTGCCACCAAGTAGCCAAAAATATTTATAAATATTAATAATTAATTCAGGTTTAAACATATGAAACACAAGTACCTTTCAAAGCCCCTTCATTACACATTCCTGCTTCTACCATCAGGGAACAATATATAAAAAATCCCTCTAAAATCATTAATTCTATCTTCCATTAACTTTATAAAGGACACTTGGCAACCTCGTGTAAAGCCATATTAGCTCTATATTTCAAATCCAGAATGATTGATTGTTTTTTTTTAACATATGCGCCACATTCAAAACTAGTTTTCATGGCTATGTGTTTGACAACAAAGATGTCTTGAATCTTAACTTTTACACATCATTGGTCAGCTGGCAGAGATTAGCAAGGACAAACGTGGAAGTTGTAGTTCTTACCAGTTGCTGACCCTGGGGTCCCCAACCTGCGTACTGCAGCTGTGCATTTCGCACCTCTGGAGGGTTCAAGTTCCAGGTCTCCCTGGGGTGCACAGACAGAAGAAATAATGCTATCAGATAGGTGCAGACATACACACTAAGACTGTCTGTTTCTAGCCATGCTGCAGCAGAAGAACAAGTGTGCCACAGCTGAGAACAAAGGTTTAAGTGTACCTATAAATACGAGCGCTCTGTAACAGTGTCACCTCTCCTTATTGGGAAAAGTGCTGCGCAGTGCAGGCTGTAGAATTAGAGGTGCCACTGCCTCTATGTCTTTGTCTGGAGCTGAGGATGAATGAGGTCATCAGCTGAGGTGGGTCTTTGGAACATTACCACTGGGTGGCAGCACACAAATAGATCTGACCACAAGAGGTGTTGACAGTGCTGTGATACTGTGACCTCCAGTATGAAGTACAACCACGTTTGAAACAGCAAAAAGACAACTTATCAAATGTCTTCGATCAAAACTGAGAAATGTTAACGTTTTTGGAAAATTAGATGACCATTTCGAATCTGATGCAACAACACGTTTCAAAAAGTTGGGACAACGGCAACAAAAGACTAGAAAAGTTGTGAAATGCTCAAAGAAAACATCTGATAGAAAATCTTATAATTAGGTTAACCGACAACAAGTTAGTAACATGATTGGGTATAAAAAGACTTAAAGATGGGAAGGGGTTCACCACTGATGAAAGAGTGTGCTGATAGTGCAACAATTTTAGAATAAAGTTTCTCAACGTAAAGTTGCAAAGAATCTGGGGATCTAATTGTCTATTGTATTTAATATCATTAAAAGTTTAGGGGAATCAGAAGACGTCTCTGTACGCAAGGGATAAGGCTAAAAACCTGTTATAAGTTTAGTTTTGGGTTATGTTTGAGTTGTATTTTTCCCCCTGTGTCTATCTGTTTTTGCCATGTTTCATGTGTTTTTCTATTTGCCTCTGTTTCGCTCGTTTCTTGTCCGTAGTTGTTTATGTCTTGTCTTTTATCCTAGTTCTTAGCCATAGTTCTTAATGTTATGCTTTAGTTCATGTTAAGTGTTTTTCCTGGTCTGTGTACTTCTGTATTGTTTTGTCCATGTTTGCTCGGTGTTCTGTTTAATCGTAGTTCGGCCTGTTTTCCCTGTTAGTTGTAGTTTATTTGTATAGTTGTAACATGTCTGCTTATGTTCTGGATTAGTTATTTATATTATTCTGTTTCTTCTTGGTTATTAGTTTCCCTATGGCTTTATTGGTGTCTCTCTGTTTTCCCCTGCTGTCTCTCTGCCTTGTTAGCCCTGATCCCGGTCACCTGTGTTGCTCCCGCCTGCTCGTTAATCCCTGTGTATAAATGTTTGGTGTTTTCTGTTCATTCCCTGTCAGGTAATTGTAGCATGTATACGTTCTGTCATGTGTAGCTTTGTGCTTGGATCTGTACCCGTTTGGATTACCTGTTTAATTTAGATTGTTTATTCTTTGGATGCATCTCTGCCACCATCCTGCACCCTGACAAAACCAGTATTGGATGACCAAGATCTTTGGGCCCCATCAGGCTTTTTACACTTGCGGTTTTGAAAATGTGTCATGATTTTTTTTTTTTGTTGTTGTTGTTTGTCAGAAGTGAGGACACAATTTCATGTTATAATGAACAATAACAGCTGCTCTTTCACATGTTCTGAACACAAAGAAATGAAGATCAGAGAGGTTAAACTGCAGCAAAGTGTGCAGACTTCCCTAATGCTTATACCTTTCTCCAGACATTTCAAGTGTAAAACATTGAAGGACAAAAGCGCTACAAGACACTGACATTGCAAAAAGCTTAATTTTATCAACTCAAGTGACAAAGCAGTATTATTATTACAGCCTTCTGCAGTGCACTGTATCCCTTTTTAACCAGATAACATTACATTTAATTGTAAAATGTTTTTCAAAGCTTGTTTGTGAATAAAAATGTAAGAGCTGTATGTTGTGGCAACTTTGGCTACCATTTGAGGACAGTTTGCTTAATAACCCTTTGATGTCACAGGCAGCACTGATGGAGGCTTAGAAGTTAACAGCATAGTTGACGTCAGAGGTGCTTTTTAGAAGGTACAGTGAGAACAGGTGGGAATGAGTTGCTTTAAGTGTTGCGGGCAGCGAGGTCAGGTGAGATACGACAGGATAAGATAATGATATACAATGTAAATGAACAATGCAGCCTACTTACGGAGTATCCAGACTGCAGATGATGTAGAAGGCCGTGTAAGAATGCTGGTATACCTAGAAGAGGCAGCAGGAAAGGATCACACCAGATGACTTCACGAACAAGGTGACCGTTTTACCTTGACTTCTTGATGTAAACTGTTTTCTATTATTTAGTAAAAATCAATGTGGATGTCACAGTTCAGACAGACTTGGGTTCTTTGAGAATGAAGAATGCAACATAGCTTCAGCACAATAAAACTGTTATAGTTTAGTTCATGGTGGTTCATGTTGGCGAACAGGTCTGTTACATATCAAAACAGAAGGTTTAAGAGTAACTTAACACCAACTAAAAATCTTGTTTTTGCTGACCTGCTGTGGTTCACCAACATCTCACCTTGTAAGGTGTGTCAGTACACCGTGACATACATCACTGTTGGGGGAAAGAGCCGTACAACTTTCAGAGTGTGCAGATAACATTGCATTTCAGCCAGGTGTTGAGCAAGTTTTTAATTAGCTTCTATTAGTATCTGGCTCTCATTTATTTGGAAGCTGCTGTGGATTTCAATGGCCATTCAGAATAAGTGATCTGATCTGGACAAGCTCTCTTACAAAAACCATACACTAAAAACCTGGAATGATCTCTAACACTTTACCTTTCATCAACTGTTCAAAAGATGATAACCGATCGCTCGTCTTACACATTTGTTCCACCTTAAGTATACTACAAATGAAATGTTTATGAACAGTGCAGGGATCTATTAAGTCCATGCCCGCTAGAGACACATTCACATTCAAATGGAGGATGGCTAGTGTAAGTATGAAAACACTGTCTATTATGAACACCCGTGCTCCATTCGACATGTTAAAGAGATGAGGTGTGCATTTGCGAGTGTGTCAGAGAGTGTGCCGCTTCAATGAGCGTACAGGAGGAATGACTGTCATCTATCAAGGTGATGGAGGTTTGGATGGAATAACAAATGCAAACGCGTGCAGTACAACACACTTGACAAACATATCTGTGCCAGCATACTTGACGTAAGAGACCCAAAAGCTCTACAGCGACTCACTGGTGAAGCAGAATCAAGTTAACACACAGATATCAGCTAGCAAAATGATTCAATATATTTGATCTACCTATATTAGGAGCTGAAATGCTTTGTTGCGTATCAAGGTGCTGGCAAGGTCATGGGAGAGTCACACTTTATTATTTATTTATTGCACAGAGAAGATAAATTCTTGGCCAATACCTCCTGTTCCTTCTGTCGATCTCATCTCATCTCCCTCCCTGCGAGCTCGCGCACCGCCGAGGGGTTTGTTTGTGTTTTTGCCTCCCTTGCTACAGTTCCACCCGGCTGTGCTGGCCCCCGTCGCCATCGCTGACAGGCAGCGGTGTGCGACAGGCCTTTACACCTCACCATGATTACTTTCTACTCACTCCCTCCCTCCTTCCGTTCTTCCCTGCCTTCGCTGCACTATAACCCAACCCCCCCCCCCCAAGTGGAGGTGGCTAACATATTTGGCTGTCAGCTTGCTAATTCAAAAAACAAGCAAACAAATGAGAAGCTCACCGGTGCGACGTTGTAGGCCAGCAGCACATGCTTCATGTCAGGAGACACCTCATACTTGCTGGCTTTGTACATTTCCTGAGAAGCAGAGGCAGATATATGAAGGAAGAAAATACAAAAAGATGAGACCTTTAATCATGCATGGTATTTTTTCATTAAACTAGTACTTAAATGACTGCGTTTGACAGATTGCTCTGCTCCTGAAGCAAACGGGAGCTGCATTAATCTTTGCACTAAGGCTGGGCGATCTGATGGCGGACATAATGTTGTGTGTCGTCACCCAAACCGCCGCAGCGCTGACGCTACATCTCTATCTCGCCATTTCCCCACATAACTGAGCCCTAAGTTTTAACTATGCAGTTCACGTTTCACAGTAAGAATGGACCACTTGATTAAGCTTTGTAATAAAAAAAGAGCTTTGGGTGCTTTGATTTGCTGACACTACTAAAAGTTTTAATTTAATTTATGGGCAGCCATTGGTTTGTTCTTTGGTCCTGTGATTGTGAGAAAGCAAAAGAGAAAGAAAAGATGACAAAGGACTTACAAATTTCTTGTTATGCACCAAGATGGTCTTCTCATCAGTGTCGACATTGAACTTGACGACATCGCCATCACGACTACGGTACAATAGCTCATTACCTGCAAGAAGAGGGGGAGAGAGAGGAATATAGACTTTGATTTCAGATACTCCTTAATGCATCATGTAATATCTTCTTTAAAACTCTACAGTCTTACATAAATGATCCAAATGATGACACAAACAAACATACATAGTAATATTGCCCTGGAGTATCACATTTTTCTTAAAATAAAGACAAAATCATTGATGGAAAAATAAAAAAATATCCTCACATTCATCCTGTGGGTCAGACAAATGGGCAGACACACTTACTGCCCACTAAGTTAGAACACAAGAGAGCAATAATTAAGCTCCTTACATAGAAATCCTGTAACACCAGACACTCAACAAGCAGAGAACAGATGTAACTCAGTGACATGAGACAGCGAGAGCAAAAGATCACTTAGTACTACTAGAGAAGCTATGAACTTGGCCCTACGTGCTGTAGTACAATAATTCAGCATTAAAACAGGGAATTGTTTGGTTTCCTGCATATATATTCTGTATAGAAAGTATAGAAAGTGGTACTCAATATTAAAAGCCCCCTTGAAAATGTAGACATCTGCTGTCACGATTGAAAAAGCAAATATTCAATATTAATGAAGTTATTATCAGTCTTGAGCATTGACAACATAACATTTTATGAGATGCTTTCATTTATTACTTTAATATCAAATATTAAAAATCAGGCTTGTTTGAGTGTTTTATTTATCTGTCAACAACCAAAAAAGTGCAACAATTACCAATGGCAGGAAAATGTGTGGTGGATTCAAATAAAAAAGCACAGCTTGGATAGCAGGGCTGCCTGCCCAATTAACTGTGTAATCATTGTGATCACAATTTTGGCTTCAACAATTAATCAAACTTTATTGGTTGCAATCCTATACAACCTTGTTGAAAGTGTTTACTCTGGTCACCTCAAGTGCTCCCTCCTCAGTCATAAACAGTAACAGGCCATTGTTTGAAGCACAGCGTGAATAAAAAAAACTTTCAGCTTCTCAAACACAGGTGACCTGAAAGTGTACTGCCATGTTTATTGATCAATATGACTTATGCTTATCATTCAGAAGACGCCAGTTTGTTTTGAAGAGAGTCTTTCTTTGATTTAAAGATTTTTTCATGAAAAATATTATAATTATTTATTATTTTTGGATATAGGTATGTGCTATTTATAGGTTTACTGTACCAATTTGATCTGTTCAAGTAAAATAAAAATAAAACCACTGTAGTGAACCATTTCAACCATATTGGTGCAGATGAAGAAAATGGGTAAGTAAGAGAGTTCTGAAAACTCAAATTTTCAGCACAATGTAAAATTAATGCTCGATTGAATGGTACTGATCAACAACCCTATCTGCTCTGCTGCAGTAATCTACAGCTATATCAGACTGTAAAAAATTACTTAACTCCTGAAAACTTTGGTTCAGTTTTAATATTTCTCTATAACATTGGGCAAAAACTCTAATCTGTTCATTAGAATTGTGTGGGTGTAGTTAGGTCAGGTTTGACTGAAAAACAGCCACAAAATTGTCATCACACTGATTGGTGCTTGTATGCACATGTACATACATCACCATTTTCCAAGTGAGCCCGCCCACTTGGAACCAGCAAGAGAGATAAGAGAAAAACTGAACAGAATGAGACAGTGACATTTATACGGAAATGAAAATGTCATTTTTGAAGAGAACTTTTAACCATGTTTAACAAAAGTGCTCTAGATCCTGACCTACTCAAAGCCATAGAATAGATACCGCTTTAATGTGCCTGAACACAAAAGCTTCCAGTTCAGGCCACTAGAGGAAACCCTTGAAGGGAGCTGTTATTTGACAGATGTATGAAAGTTCACACAGCTGCTCATCCATCAGGCCTTTATCAGGGAAGGATAAGTTTAATACAGCAACTGCCCCCTTTCACCTTCAATCTATCTGCACTGTTCTGTCTTATTGCTTTAGTGATCTATAGGCGCATGAGCAACCACGCCATTTGGCGAGGTAATTAGAACCCAGAGATTGTATGCAGAGTGCTCTCTATCTGCTAGCATATCTAATTGTCCATTAGAGGTGACAAAATTACCATCACAATGGCTTTAATTCAGAACGTGCTTTGGAGAGCAGTTTCAGACATTTTTAGACTGGCATAGCCAAACGCCCCCTCAACAGCTTTTGTCTCGTTGTTAAAAACCATCGGCATACTAACAAGGGTATAAAATTAACTCCTTCATGGAAATCATGGTAATAAATAAAAGATAGCTGCTTTTTTTCTACCATGCTCCATTATTTTAGTTTGACTCCGTTTGGCATCCTGATAAACGTTCTACTTTCTATATGAAATGGTAATTGCAGATGATAGGGCTTGAATGTGTAAAACGAATGTGATGACAAGCCAGTGGTCAGAGAGACTGACTGGACTTTATTTTGCTTTGTGACTTGCTCTGGTTTAATAGTCTGGCTTCATTTCAAACTCAAAGACCTGCATCTCTTTAAGGCACTATTTTCATCTTTATTCCTCACCAAATCGCTGATCTTCTTCTCCTTTATACACACGCCCCAAGACACTTTAGATATACCTCGGATCCCTCAAATCCTTCCCGTCAATGCCCTTCTATAAGCCCTCCTGCTGAGTTCATCATTTTAGACCTTATCATCCCTCCTTCACCTCTCCAACTCTTTGTTTTCTGCTCTTTCAAAGACCGAGAGCCATCTATTCTTTCACAGTACCCTAGGCATTATGTCTTCCCTTCAATCTATCTTTCTAGCACTCTCTCTTTCTCTTTCCCCTCTACCTTCACTCGCTGTGCATTAGCCCAGGGTGCTGTTTTCTCTTCTGATCTATACCTTTCCATGGCAGTGTGTCTTATTAATACAGCCTCCTGCCCTGGGCACAGCCCTAACCCAGCCTCACTCCAGGGAGGCAGAGATATGAGATGACACACTCGAGTGAGACAGACAAGGACCAATGTTATATATTGACTTTGTACAATTCATCTCCATGGACCTCACTTTGCAAAAGCACATTTTTTAGAGCAGTCATTTACACTGGAAATTGCCACTTTTAAAGAATAATTTCTGTTAATTATACTTTCATATATTATATCGGTTAATTATTAATTATAAGACTGTATTTACCAGGCTAACATCTTAGATCCTGAAAGACCGCAACATCTTTACAGCAGAGTCAGACAGAGCAAGAAACATGAGGTTGTAAACAAGCCGAACCTATATTACAAATATATTGTCTCATTAAAAAACAACCACAGTGTAGAAAAGCAGTCTGTAAAGCAGGATTTATCTAAAAGTCAAAGATCTCCATTTGCTATGAAAACAGGCAGGTTTAATGGCCTCCCTAAAGAGAAAGGGCTTTGTTTTGTGTCATTTTATGGTGACGTAAGTGCTAAACTCTTTGGTTAAATGTCTTTAAAAGACAACTCCCCAGATGTGACAATGCACTCCTGTAACACACACACACACACATATATATATATATATATATATATATATATATACACACACACACACACACATACATATATCTACAGTGAGGAAAATAAGTATTTGAACACCCTGCTATTTTGCAAGTTCTCCCTCTTAGAAATCATGGAGGGGTCTGAAATTGTCATCGTAGGTGCATGTCCACTGTGAGAGACATAATCTAAAAAAAAATAATCCAGAAATCACAATGTATGATTTTTTAACTATTTATTTGTATGATACAGCTGCAAATAAGTATTTGAACACCTGAGAAAATCAATGTTAATATTTGGTACAGTAGCCTTTGTTTGCAATTACAGAGGTCAAACGTTTCCTGTAGTTTTTCAGCAGGTTTGCACACACTGCAGGAGGGATTTTGGCCCACTCCTCCACACAGATCTTCTCTAGATCAGTCAGGTTTCTGGGCTGTCGCTGAGAAACACGGAGTTTGAGCTCCCTCCAAAGATTCTCTATTGGGTTTAGGTCTGGAGACTGGCTAGGCCACGCCAGAACCTTGATATGCTTCTTACAGAGCCACTCCTTGGTTGTCCTGGCTGTGTGCTTCGGGTCATTGCCATGTTGGAAGACCCAGCCTCGACCCATCTTCAATGCTCTAACTGAGGGAAGGAGGTTGTTCCCCAAAATCTCGCAATACATGGCCCCGGTCATCCTCTCCTTAATACAGTGCAGTCGCCCTGTCCCATGTGCACAAAAACATCCCCAAAGCACGATGCTACCACTACCATGCTTCACAGTAGGGATGGTGTTCTTGGGATGTTACTCATCATTCTTCTTCCAAACACGGTTAGTGGAATTATGACCAAAAAGTTCTATTTTGGTCTCATCTGACCACATGACTTTCTCCCATGACTCCTCTGGATCATCCAAATGTTCATTGGCAAACTGAAGACGGGCCTTGACATGTGGTTTAAGCAGGGGAACCTTCCGTGCCATGCGTGATTCAAACCATGACGTCTTAGTGTATTACCAACAGTAACCTTGGAAACGGTGATCCCAGCTCTTTTCAGGTCATTGACCAGCTCCTCCCGTGTAGTTCTGGGCTGATTTCTCACCTTTCTTAGGATCATTGAGACCCCACGAGGTGAGATCTTGCATGGAGCCCCAGTCCGAGGGAGATCGACAGTCATGTTTAGCTTCTTCCATTTTCTAATGATTGCTCCAACAGTGGACCTTTTTTCACCAAGCTGCTTGGCAATTTCTCCGTAGCCCTTTCCAGCCTTGTGGAGGTGTACAAGTTTGTCTCTAGTGTCTTTGGACAGCTCTTTGGTCTTGGCCATGTTAGTAGTTGGATTCTTACTGATTGTATGGGGTGGACAGGTGTCTTTATGCAGCTAACGACCTCAAACAGGTGCATCTAATTTAGGATAATAAATGGAGTGGAGGTGGACATTTTGAAGGCAGACTAACAGGTCTTTGAGAGTCAGAATTCTAGCTGATAGACAGGTGTTCAAATACTTATTTGCAGCTGTATCATACAAATAAATAGTTAAAAAATCATACATTGTGATTTCTGGATATTCTTTTTTTAGATT